CAGACACCAGGGGGGTGAGGGCATGAGTGGGGAGGGGGACAATGGGGGGATAAAGACACATATGTAATACTTTAATCAATAAAGAAAAAAATTAAAAAATACATAAAGCAGAGGGCTTAAAAAACCCAGATTAAAACAGTACCATGAGATATCAAGCTATCTCTAAGCATCTTTCTGAATCTGAAAGCAAAGCCATAGCACAGGCACTAAAATTTACACTATTTAACTATTGTTATGCTATTAAAATGTGCAATGCACAAATCTCTCTCTCTCTCTCTCTCTCTCTCTCTCTCTCTCTCTCTCTCTCTCTCTCTCTCTCTCTCTCTGGCAATATATTGGCCTGAGCCAGAAGCATTCTGAAAAAAATGCAAGCATCATCCATCAATTGCTGTACCTGACCCTCTCTGCAACTTAAGTATTCTTCAAGGTTTTTCATTGCAAAATTAATACAAAAATCTATTCTTGTTTAAAAAAGCCAAACATTTCAGAAGTAAATAGGGGGAAAATGAAAAGTCCTATTTTCCTTATTACTCCCCATATTTTGCTCCAACCTCTTTTACTGTCCTTATATTAATGCAAGAAAACTCTGCATTGTGAGACAGGGATTCATTTTCTTTTTGGTCCTTTAATGGTAGTTCCCAGGTGGAAAATATACAATGAGGAACACTGGCCTAGATCTTTCTTAAAGATCTTAATTTGAATGAACTGCTAAATTCCCAGGTTTAGAAATAGCTATTTCCACTAACCATAAAATAAATCTAAGTGTGCTGAATTATAATTACTTTATGTTAAGACAGAATAAGATCAGATCTCAAGGGAAAGTCATTAACCATTTAATTGTAAAACTGTTCATCAGAGAGCACAGTGAGGTAATATCAATGATAATAAAACTAGCTGACATTTATTGAGAATTAACTAGATGCCATACCCTGATCTTATTGTGTCATAAGATTTTCTAAAATGAAGGTTCAGCAGTGAAATTTTAAGACATGGCATGTGATCATCAGTACGTGTGTTCATAATATCTTGAATTTGTATATTTTCCATTATTTTGTTTGATGCAATACTGCCCTGGACTGAGAAATGATTACTGACATTACTTCAAATCTGAATTCACAATAGAGAAGTTCAGTGGGTGGGTAAAGCCACAGACTAATGCAGTGGTGGGGCCCCTCTCTGAGTTCAGGCTCTCGAAGCTATGCCAGCATTTCCCAAACTTCAAGCATTCTTGTTCTGCTGCTGGTATAGCTACACTAGTATTTCCTTAATGCCTTTAAATGGATTCCCCTCCTTTAAAATTAAGCTTATTTTTTAAAGAAACATCATGTAAGTGGAAAACTTATATGGATTATTTGCCACAAATAAAAAAAAATAACTAGAAAAATAAATTCAGTAAAACAAAGCGATCTTACTAAATTCTGATTGATATTGTTGCCTGCTGGTATTCCTGAGCCTGAACCCTGCACTGTCTGTTCAAAAAGTACATCAGCAGTGCCCTAGCCCAGTGGTCGGCAAACTGCGGCTCGCGAGCCACATTCGGCTCTTTGGCCCCTTGAGTGTGGCTCTTCCACAAAATACCATGTGTGGGCGCGCACGTACAGTGCAATTGAAACTTCGTGGCCCATGTGCAGAAGTCAGTATTTTGTGGAAGAGCCACACTCAAGGGGCCAACGAGCTGCATGTGGCTCGTGAGCCGCAGTTTGCCGACCACTGCTTTGGCTCAGTGGATAGAGCGTTGGCCTGCAGGCTCAAGGGTCCCAGGTTCAATTCCGGTCAAGGGCAGGTACCTTGGTTGCGGGCACATCCCCAGTAGGGAGTGTGCAGGAGGCAGCTGATCGATGTTTCTCTTTCATTGATGTTTCTAACTCTCTATTCCTCTCCCTTCCTCTCTGTAAAAAATCAATAAAATATATTTTAAAAAAGTACATCAGCAAGTGGTAATGACATATGTAAACCAGAATCAATCAGCTTTCTCCTTGTCTTAAACAGAATGATTGGTTAAAGAACTGAAAGAGAATTGGGAAAAAGGCAACTCTCTCCAATGTACTTTTTAAATGACATCTAATATTATTCCAGGTAAAATTTCAAATTTTGCCTGTGATTATGATACAAGTTCCAAGATATTCTGGAAAATACACCAAAATGATTTGGAAATTTCCTGAAGGATCAATCTTCTTTATTTTTATTTTGGTCTCAGAATCTCAAAAGGAATCTTGTTTCTCACTACTCCAATATACCAAATAATAAATGGCAAGTAATATCAAGTTGGTAGGAATGAAAGTTATTAACCAAAAAACTTATTTTCAGAAGGCAACTGTTAGGTAGATGAAAACAGTGCTGATTTATCAAAACAACAATGAGGTACCATCTCACACCTGTCAGACTGGCTATCATCAACAAATCAACAAACGACAAGTGCTGGAGAGGATGTGGAGAAAAAGGAACACTTGTGCACTGCTGGTGGGAATGCAGACTGGTGCAGCCACTATGGAAGACAGTATGGAGTTTCCTTAAAAAACTGAAAATGGAACTCCCATTTGACCCTGTGATCCCACTTCTAGGAATATATCCCAAGAAACCAGAAACACCAATCAGAAAGGATATATGCACCCCTCTGTTCATAGCAGCACAATTCACCATAGCTAAGATCTGGAAACAGCCTAAGTGCCCATCAGTAGATGAATGGATTAGAAAACTGTGGTACATCTACACGATGGAATACTATGCTGCTCTAAAAAGGAAGGAACTCTTACCATTTGCAACGTCATGGATGGAACTGGAGAGCATTATGCTAAGTGAAATAAGCCAGTCAATGAAGGAAAAATACCACATGATCTCACTCATTCATGGATAATAGAGACCATTATAAACTTTTGAACAATAATAGATACAGAGGCAGAGCTGCCTCAAACAGATTGTCAAACTGCAGCAGGAAGGCCGGGGAGGGTTGCGGGGCAGGAGGTAGGGGGGTAAGAGATCAACTAAAGGACTTGTATGCATGCATAGAAGCATAACCAGTGGACATAAGACATTAGGGGATAGGGGAGGCTAGGGGACTGTCTAGGGCGGGGGGATAAAATGGACACATATGTAATACCCTTTGTAATACTTTAAGCAATAAAAAAAAAAAAAAGAAAAAAGAAAAAAAAAGAAAACAGTGCTGATTTAGGAAGCACAATTAAGTTCAACCACATACTTACTAGCTTCTTTGACATTGATAGGTCAGTAAACCACTCAGTATTTTCTCATCTACAAAAACAGGAGAACACTACCTATATAACTCATGGGTACATGAATTAAAATGAGAGAAATGCTTGGCACAACAGACACTCAATAAACGCTATTTGTATCAAAAGTTACATATGACTTTCAGCTTATTATAACTCACAAATATCCAAGTGTTTTAATCTAAATAAAAAGATCTCCATTTGTTTTACCTTAGTAATCCTGAGGCACTATGGCTCAGTTTCAGATACAACTTTGAAAATTAAAATTCATCTTTCTGAAAGCCTAAAATGCCCCAGAAAAACTGATCATTAAAAGCCTGGTCATCATTTGGTCCAAAATATCTTAAAAGTCTTAAACTAAAAAAAAAGTAAACATGGCAAATGTTATTGTTATACAAAATAATTATCCACGTGTACAGTATCTGAATACATTTTATGTTGGCTTGAAACTAGTGACCCTTTCTTAACACATGGCCAAAGTAATAAGAAAGATAGCTAAAATTATAGTGCCATCTACAGGCAAAGAAACGAATATCAATGACAGCACATTTTAATGCTTTCACATTTTCTAATTGCTGCTACTCAATGTTTTTTAAAAAAAATGGGATTTAATAATTTTTATAATTCATTTTATGATTATAGTGACATAATTTATTTATTAATGTATTTATATAATTAGTACTTTATATAAATTTATATAATTTATGTATTATATAAATTTATATAATTTATATAATATAGTAAAATAAAACATTTTCTCTAAAATTTTTACTATTTAATATATCATCATTGCCATTAAAATAGAGGCAATTTTAAAAATCCATGGAACAACAATCATCACTTTTTGTGTCCCACCTAGACTTATTAAAATATATGACAAAACAAGAACTTTTTAGCTTAAAAAAATCCAAAAACCCTATCATCTCAAGAGAATGTCATTTTCATCTTTGTTTGTCGTTCCTTTCCAATCTATGTCTGTAGACATTTATTTAATAACGAGTGTCGGGCACTTTTCTAAGCTGCTTTACATATACTGACTCAGCAAATCATCACAATAACCCTAACAAGTAGGAATATTACCATCCCCACTTTATATATATATTGAAGCTGAAGCTCATAAAACCTAAATATCTTGTCCAAGGCCATGCTGCTGTAAATGGCTTGGCCAAGGTTCAAACTGGGGGATTTTGTGTCCACTATCTGCTTTTAATCACTATGCTAACATGTCTCTCCTTAGAAAAAGCTGCACTCAGTGTATGGACCGCATTTGTAATATATGTTCTGCTTTTAAAGGGTAACATTTTCTCATAACTAAAACTATGATCATCATTTTTAGTAATTAACATGTTTTGCCATCAAATTGATAGATCTCATTTTACTTACTTTTGTTATCTAATGCTGGACTTTCAAACTATTTCTAATTTCTTTCATTATATATAAAAATGCTACAATAAGCAAATTTTGCATTGTATGTAGCTCGTTTCCTTCTTTTGCATTGTATTTTCTTATGCTAATATTCCCAAAATGGTTTGACTGACTTAAAGTATATAGAAGTGACACATTACTGATACATAATATATACTGCTTTTTAAAATTTCATTATATAAAGTTACCAGAGCCCTAGCCAGTTCGCTCAGTGGATAGAGTGTCAACCTGCAGACTGAAGGGTCCCGGGTTTGATTCCGGTCAAGGGCATGTACCTCGGTAGCGAGCACATCCCCAGTTGGGGGTGTGTAGGAGGCAGCTGATCGATGTTTCTCTCTCATCAATGTTTCTAACTCTCTATTCCTTCCCCTTCCTCTCTTTAAAAAAATCAATAAAATATATTTTAAAAAAATAAAATAAAGTTACCAGAAATTAGAGACTGCTCGGATCTTCCTATTTCCCCCTAAATTTAATTTATTAATATAAAGTGGTTAGCAATGGTTTACTAGTATGATATGAAATAGTTAACCTAACAAATATTTAAATTTTTAAGTGGGCCAAATGTTTTCTTCCTCTAGCAACATAAAAGGTAGAGATAATCCAATTATTTGTTGCTGAGGAGATTGGTGCTATCTTGATTCTTTAAGTGAGCCTCAAAAAAAAAAAAAAAAATCAGTAACATACTCAAAGTCACTAGTAAGTGTCAGGCATGGAGTCAGCCCAGATCTGCCTGACTCTAAAAATCTACGCTTAGATAATGGGGGGAGGAGGAAAGGGGTGGGTCAATGTATGACAAGATAAAGAAGTTGTATAAAAAATTTATTTCAATCTTCATTGAAGATTATTTACCTCATAAAAGGGTAAACTACCCTGAGGTAGCTATCATACAGGGATTACATTTCCCTGATGTATTTTTCTGATCAATAATTTCAAATATGAAAGAATGACAATAGCAGTTAACAAAATGATTCATCTATCTTTATCTCCAACTACATGCTTTCATTACAATCTGGTTTCATTTATATTCTAAGCAAGAAGCTAAAGGATAGAAACATTACTCTAAAAGCATTCTTTAACTGTTATCTTACAGTATTATATATGCTCTCCATAGTCCAGAAAGATTGCAACTTTTATAACACAATAAAGGTCACTGAAATGTCAGATAATAGATAAGAAGCACAGGCTTTGGAGTCTTCAATTCAGACCCTGACACTTACTAGCTTATATGTCTTCTGGAATGTTAGTAGCAAATTCCTACTTTATTGGGATATTGCCTAACTAAGGGAGATAACAATTATAAAACTCCTAGCACATGGCAGATGCTCAAACAAATTTTAGCTCCCTTTCCTTTGAAGAATGACAGATACATGGAATATCAAGGATACTGGTTTTAAAAGTCATGCTTCATTATTTCCCTCAGACAAACAGTAGCATAACATGAAGCGTCAAGATCAAAAGAAATCAAAAGAGATAAAGTCGCTTCATCAATGTGGGAACCTTCTGCTTTGACATCAATATCATGTTCTTCTATTAGTTGGTATGACAGATTGTGGGGTTGTTTCAAAATCTTTCTATAGCATCCTGGAACGTTCAGTTTCAGAGTAGGTACTTTAAACCTACATGTCTGTAGTCCATCTCTGCTAAGTACTTCCTGGTACCACAGCCCTACTTTGTTCTTTGGGTACTGAACATTGTATCCAAGCACTGGAAGAACCACCTGCACAAGGGAAGGAGGCAAAAAGATACATGAAACAGCCTTCAGAAAAATCAATGATCAAATTTTAAATTTACATTTATGACTGGGTCCTAGATCTGTAAAAACAGTCTCAGAATATAAACGTACAATCAGCCTAAAACATACTATTGAATACCATACTACTTTATTTTTTATGCTAGCAGACAAAGAAAAAAGCTACCTAAAATCAAGAAGGATTAATAATAAACAAGATAACCAATTCAAGTCAGATATTACTAGACAAACCACTGCTAAGGTAGAAGAGATGGAACAATAAGTTTAGGTACATTTAATTAACTAACAGACTTAATCTCTGTGCAGTCACACAATCCTGAAAGCAGATTCTTTCTGTAACAAAGAATAACCTCTACTGCTCAACTGGTATTTTAGTTGATAATTTCACATCCCTCTTACTAATTTAAAAACATGAAAGCAAATAGCAGACAGCAAAAGTAATGTTTATTTTCTCAGCCGCTGATGAGTAGATACTGCATTCTGTGGGGTTTTCCTCCTTTACTGATGACCTCTAGACATTTTTCTTGAATAGTACCAGAGGGTAGTCAAAAAAGAAACAAGGTAAAAAACTCAAATCCACACAATATTAATGTTCAAATTCATTAGGCTAATTGAAAGAAGCCAGACACAAAAGGCCATCTATAATAATAAAAGCATAATATGCTAATTAGACCAGACAGCCAAACGACCTTCCGGATGTCCTTCTGGATGAAGCCAGGGCTGTCAGGGCCGAGGCAAGCCACTGTGGCTGCGAGGGCCGAGCCCCTTGCACGATTTCGTGCATCGGGCCTCTAGTATACTATATGATTCCATTTATATGACATTTTTTAAAAGGCAAAACCATAGGGATAGAAAGTAGATGAGTTGTTGCCCGGGGATGGAGGTTGACTACAAAGGGCACAGGGAAATTTTGAGGAGAGATGAAACTATCTTGGTTGTTGTGGTAGTCATATGGCTGTATACATTTATGAAAACTCATATACATGTAAACTTAGGAGAGTGAATTTTATTATATATATATATTCTAAATTGGAAAGTGGTAAAAAAAAAAAGTGGGGGGAGGGGAACTGGTCACATTTTTCTTTTGGAGACAATGTCTACATTTAGGTCTAAGTGATACTAATTTTTAAGCAAATTTACCTGATGTATTGCATATGCATTAGCCGATTCCTCTTCTTCAGTTACTAGGTGAACCTATTTTTAAAAAACATGATGAAAAATATGGATGATTCTCAAATGTTTCAAATTTCTTCAATTTTCCCTAATTTTGTTATGTAAAATTTGACTCCTATGCTGAATATACATATATCCAAACAAGACCTTTTCACAGTTTATTTCTGGAGGAGCAGACTACATAAAAATTAGAATTATTCTTCCTGCTTTAACCACTGATAACTGAAGTTGGCACACACAGATTTTGGAGGGCAGCTTAACACGTCTTTACTTTTACCTCAGTCACCAACAATCTTTTTCCAAATTACAAAGTTGTTCTTTATTATGCTGAATCAAAAATCTACTTCTGTCCCCAACAAATATCAGACTCTATGGGAAGTGGTGTTTCTCAAAATGCACTTCATAGAACAGTTACGGGTATCACATGTAGGAGGTGTGTGATGTATTACGTTTGAGAAATGTTGCTGCAGGACATCACAGAATAACTAATTTCTCTTGCAAAGGAGAGCTCAAGTTCAAAGGCAGCAGCATCATTCCACAAGGACTGACAGCATCTCCATCTTCCTAAAGCACTCATCGTATACGATAGTGTCCAGATCGCTTCTAAATCTGCTTGCTTTCCCCTTGATTCTCTACCCTTATCAATAAAGTTCCTCCTCGTTTTTTTGGTTTTTCATTTGAGTTGCTTATTTTTAGGTAAATAACCTGTTAAACTGTGATACTCTGAAATGGATATAAAACTCCAGGTGTGATCTGACCAAAATAGATGGGGTTATGATCTTTCCTGTATCACTTCCAGCTTTTTGTCTTTCACAAACTCATAAGCATACCTACAATATTGTTATTTAAATAATTTATGAAAATACCAAAAAAAAACATGGTCAAGTACAAAAGACCATGTTTTGCCTTAAGAGAACTCTCTCCAGGTTAATATCAATCTACAAACATGCTTTTGCTGTATGACTGCTCCCCAAATATGAATTCACCTGTTTAATTGTGCAACTCACATTTCTCTATCTTGCTCATAAAAAAATTAAAAGAGAATCTACCAAATGCCTTGAAGTAAAGTTATACTTGTTAGGCTAGTAATCCTATCAAAAAGGGAATCAGATTCGTTTCCTACCATTTTTAATTATAGATGTACAACATTACATGTCCTATATACTAGTACCACATCTTAAAAATCTTATTCTGCTTTTTTCCTTTTCCTAATTTAAGTTTTGAGCCTCTAAGTCCTGCCTGTTCTTTTCTCAATGCTAACTAATAAAGCATAAATGATTGGCCTTAAAATTATAAACAATTTTTGCTGCTGATAAAAGGAAACTTCGGAATATAAAGGAGAAAATGTTCTCTTTTCTCCTACAGCTCCAAAAGGAAAAGCTGATACAATTCTGAGCACAAAACTCCTTACTAATGTTATGTTGAACAAAGAAACCTACAAGAGGCATGTATTTCAGAGATCATTGCTATATCTTGTCAAAGTAACCTTTAACTTCTGGAAATCTGAATGAAAAAATGGCTGACTTACTAAATAATATACTGCCCAGGTAATATTTAAATGGACAGGTTATCTAGAAGGTGTATAAAAACTTAGAATTTTTCATTATTTATTAGAAGAGGATCACTGACATTTCTCTTCTTCCATTCACATGAGTTAAAATAAAACGTAAGATACTGCTAGGTTTCTTTCTACACAGTTTCAGTCGGTGTCTGTTAAATGACCATTCTTAGTAATTTATCATCCTAGTGATTACTTTCTTGCCTAAATATTCAAAAGCCATGAATATTGAAATGATAAAACTTAATGAAATAATAAAACTTGCTCAGCCTTTACTACCTCTTTTCTGGTAGCAAATTTTCCAGAGAGCTCCCCTCCCAGATCTCAGATGCAGTTAGGGTGGGATGGTTTCAGGAAGGAGTCCTGGCAACACCGGCTTACGAATCACATACTCCAGTCCACAGCTATGGGTTTGGGGAATTGTGACCCAAGTCACACCACGCTGAGCCACTGAGACTCAATTCCATGGCTTTTATTAAAACTACTGAGGGAAAAAAAAGCCCTCTTTTCTGGAGAAGTTGTGAGAAATAAGCGTAGAGTTGCTAATAACCATCTTGCCATTAAAGGAATAAAGTGTAAGCCAGATTGAGAATGAATCTAACAGAAAATCAGCTGACAGCTAAAGAAAATGAGGGATGAGGTAGGACATTGCCTAAGACCCTGGATACAGCTGGGCCTGGATCAATCATGGGCTTCCAGGTGTGAGGGCCAATAAATTCCTGTCTGCTCTTTCTTATGTTAGTGGGAAGTGGGGTTCCTTTATTTGACATGAATATAAATGTCTCTAAGGCATTGTTAAAAAGTAAACAAGTTGTGAAATTGCGCTTATATAAAAGAAACACAGAACATTGCATGTCCTATATACCATTATAATAAAAATCGTCTTCTTTCATATGTTAAGCTTTTAGCCTCTTAGCCCTGTCTTTTCTTTTCTCCGTGTTAACTAATAGAATAAAAATCTCTTTCCTGTGGATATTTATGTGAAAGCATAGAGAATCATCTAGAAGGACACAGGCCCAAAACAGAGGTTGGTTTTCTGGAGGCAGCGGAGGAGATCACAACGGAGCCGTGGCCAGGGTAACAGCTACATCTGCAATGTTCTGGTTTTATTTTTAAGGAAACTGCTTCATGCGTTATTTGTAACCTTTAAAAGAATGTGTTCTTCAAAGGAAGTTTTACTATCTTTGTACCTTTCACTTCACACCATTGACTATCTTATTTTTTTCATTTATTGACGTGTATTGGGCCTCAGCTGACAGCAGAGTAGAAAAGGAGATGAGCAAATACAAGTTAAAAAGAAATAAAATTCCTATTCAGGTTTAAATTGTTTCTAAAATAAGGACTTCAGAAAATTAGTGTTCCTGCTAAGGTAACTACTCTTGGGAAATCCTGATCAAATGACACTTACTTTATTATTTGGGAATTGCTCATCATCACCATCTTCATCCAAACAGACCAAATCACCCTCCACCACTCTTGATCCATAGGTAGCAAGTCTGTAAGATACGGCCTCATTCCAAATTTTGCTGCTATATGCATGAATGTAGAAAATGCGCATAGAATGAGGAAAGGAGAACCAGGCCTGGATACAACCCTCCTCGGTCATGCTAAAGCGATGCAGTGACTCCAACAATGCTCTCTCTCGAACTTTGAATTCTGGCATCAATGAAAGTGTGCCTTTAGCATCCTCTGCAATAAGGAGAAAATCAGTTAGTCAACCACTTTCATTTAAAGGCCAGTTATGAAGCCCTTTATTATGCTTTCTAAATGAGAGTCAATGAATTGCTGCTCTTTTACACCTGAATATGAAGATGTTCAGCACCAACTATAAATCTAACTACACTTGAAGAATTGTTTTTTTTTAAATAAAGACCATTAATCATATGAGCCATTCACATTCCCTGCTTTAAAAAAAACAACAACAAAACCCAAAAAAACAAAAACAGCCCAGCCAGTTTAGCTCAGTGGTTGAGTGTCGACCCATGAACCAAGAGGTCACGGGTCGGATTCCCAGTCAGGGCACATGCCCAGGTTGTGGGCTTGATCCCTAATAGGAGGCATGCAGGAGGCAGCCAAAGGAAGATTTTTCTCTCTCACTGATGCTTCTATCTATCCCTCTCACTTTCTCTCTCTCTAAAAATCAACAAAAACACATTAAAAAATAACAAAAAGTACAGTAGTAATTCCTACTTCAGAATGAAGATAAACTAATTTACAGTTATTAGAGGACTTCATAAAAGAGTATTAAATAAACCTCTGAACCTAGGGATTTAAAAAGAGCTATTATGGACATTTACAGAGAATTGTTTGAATAAGAAAGGGTGATGTCTGGATTACTCAAGCATAATATTAGGTCTCGCTGGTGGGAAGCATTTTAAAATTAGGGACTCTATTGTAAAGATGCTGATGCCAACAGGGCCTTGGAATCAGCATTTTAATAACTGTATCAGGTTTCTTATGAACATTAAAGTGTAAATATCATTCAAATCATTGCCATAAGGAAATGATCTTCTCAGGACTCTACAATAGAGACAAACAACTCACTTTGAATTTTCTTTAGTATCACTTAGATTACTCATAACAATTTGAAATGCCCATATTATTTATAGACTGTGCTTTGGCACAAAAATATTTCTCTCCTATGAATAATTACATGTTTTTATAATATGTACATACTTAAAAATACTGGAGATTTTTGAAAACTGGAATCATTTATTTTAATGTTAGTTAAATTTAGTATGCACATGTATGTAGATCACAGATTTGAATGAATCTAAAATGGTATGGTTGCTGTTATTATTACTTAAATACAAGTAAGATTTGTTCAGTATTTAGTATGTGCTAGGCACTATTTTAAGAGCATTACATCTTTTATTTCATTTAAATATCATAATAGTCTTCTAGGTACTATTATTAGCTTCATTTTCAGGTGAAGAAACCAAAACAATGAGGCTAAATCATTGCACAAGCCCATACAGGTGGCAAGTACTAAAGGTGAGCGTTACACTCATATAAATTGACTCCAGAACCCACACTCATAACTAGTTTTCTTTAGTGTTTCCTATTAAGCATTCTGCATATATATCATCCTATTGAGTTAGAGTTTTCAAAATCAGTAGTCAGGGCTGAATGGCAACTAGATCAGAACCAATGCACAAAGTATCAGACATAACAAATGTTCTTTTACTTAGTTTATTTTTCCATCTCCTCTAGTTGTAGTAATTATATACTTCCATCAGTACCAGTTTAGAATTGGGAACTCCTATCTCCTCAGAGGATTTAGGTCAAGAAAAACTAAGATGCCATCTCTCCCCTCCAACTTCCCTGCAAGCAAGATTTAGAACAGATAAAAGGAGTACATGGGGCATATAATAAAATGATTAAATATAGAATATATTAAAATCTATTTCTTATCACATTTGTGTAGCAATGGATGCCCTTCTGCTGACATAGCATTTATATTATGTAACTGCATGGCTATGTATGGGGTAAAGAAACTTTTAAATACCAGTTTGAAGAAAATATTTCTTTGCTCTATTTACAGGATCATCCAAATCTTCTGGTGTAAGAAATAATTTTACAGCCTTCACCTTTAAAAATCAAGCAAGCAAACACATGTTACATAAAAATGACAAATTACTTACTTTAAGAAAAACATGCCTCTTCAAAGAATAGGCATTTAACAAATGCCTATTTGATATTTGATGCTACAATTTTATCTTTAAACTTCCAAGAATTAAATAATCAATGTTGCCCTAGCTGGTTTTGCTTGCTCAGTGGTTAGAACACGGCCCACAGACTGAAGTGTCTGAAGTTGGATTCTGTTCAAGGGCTTGAACCTCTGTTGCAGGCTTGATCCCTGGCCCCAGCTGAGGCTTGAGGGAGGCAACCAATCAATGTGTCTCTGTCACACTGATGTTTCTCTCTCTCTCTCTCTCTCTCTCTCTCTCTCTCTCTCTCTCTCTCTCTCTCTCTCTCTCTCTCTCTTTCTCTCTCCCCTCCGTTCCCTCCTTCCCTTCCACGCTCTCTAAAAATATCAATGGAAAAAATATCCTTGGGTGAGGATTAACAGCAACAAAAAGTAATCAATGTTACGTTCAGAAGTAAACTTCTATACAAGCAAGCTTATATACAGGTTTAAAATATTGTGGACCAGAAAAAGTGCTCTCCCATATCTTCCACAGTTTTTCTTCTGTCATTCTTTACCTCTATTATATGAATACAAGTGTGAAGTAATGACATAAAACTCAAACTTGACCAACATACACAACAAAAATAGGGAAGAAAAGAAGCATAAGGGAATGGCAAGCCACTAATTGCATTCCTGTTCTCAAGTCTCAAAATTCATTAGTTTTAAAAATAATTGCCCAATTCTTTTTTGAAATTGCCAACTTTAATATTTTATTTTAAAACCTAAATAGATGAAAATATGTTCTTAAAAAATAGAGACATCTACTAGTTCCTGTATTTTATTACTGTCTCTAAAACTGTGATTTATTTCTAAGTATATGTCTTTGAGTGGCAATACTGACTACAAATTTGCAGAAGTGGTCTGCATCATTAACTGTCAACTATATTTCCACGTACAAGATAATATTCACATGCACAATGCTTCTCACAAGTGCTGTTACTATTCTTTTCTCCTCCACTCAAGAAAACATACTATAACACAAATGAGTATGGCACTATCATATGAATAATCTTGCCTTTGAGCAAGTATATAATTTTTATAGATTTGTCAGTTTTGCATATTATGTGCACTTCATGCAGTGCAAAACTATGTGTATGTATATAATATGTAATTATATCCTATCTAATAAAAGAGAAACATGGTAATTGGCGTACAACCGCTACCCTACCCATTGGCTAATCAGGGTGATATGCAAATTAACTGCCAGCCAAGATGGCGGCCAGCAGCCAGGCAGCTTAAACTGAACATGAGGCTTGCTTGCTTCAGTGACGGAGGACTACAACGTTCCCCACCTGCCTTGCCGGCCTCTGACCTGCAACTCTAAGCAACTATGTAACAAATATAGAAGCTAAACAAAACCCCAGAAACCTGCCCAGAAGGGTCGCAACATTGTAAACAAAGGCCAGAAACCACTTTCGGCAGCGGAGGCCTAAGAGCTGGAGCCGAGCTTCAAAGCTAAAGCTGGCCCAGAATAAAAAATAAAAAAAAAGAAAAAAAGGAGCAGTTGGGAGCTTCCGTCACCCGCCAGCCTAAAAACAGCCCTCAGCCCCTCACCCAGACTGGCCAGGCACCCCAGTGAAGACCCCCACCCTGAAGGATGTGTGACCAGCTGCAAACAGCCATCATCCCCTCACCCAGGCTGGCCAGGCACCCCAGTGGGAACCCCCACCCTGATCCAGGACACCCTTCAGGGCAAACCAGCCAGCCCCCACCCGTGCACCAGGCCTCTACCCTATATAGTAAAAGGGTAATATGCCTCCCAGCACCGGGATCAGCGGAGCCGAGAGGCCTCCCAGCACCGGGATCAGTGTGACAGGGGGCAGCACCCAAACCCCCTGATCGCCCTGCGGCTCTGTGTGTGACAGGGTGCGGCGCCCCAATCCCCCCCCCGCCACGGGCCCTGCTCTGTGTGACGAGGTAGAGCCATAACCTCCCCATTGGCCCTGCCCTGAGTGTGAGAGTGGCGGCGCCCCAACCCCCTGATCGGCCCTGCTCTGTGGGTGATAGAGGGCGGCGCCCCAACCCCCTGATGGGCCCTGCTCTGTGCGTGACAGGGTACAGAGCCCCAACCCCCCTGATCGGCCCTGCTCTGTGAGTGACAGGGGAAATGCCCCAACCCCCTGATTGGCCCTGCTCTGTGTGTGGCAGGGGGTGGCGCCGCAACCTCCCCATCGACCCTGCCTTGAGTGTGACAGGGGGAGGTGCCCCAACCTCCCAATTGGCCCTACCCTGAGCGTGACTGAGGGTGGCATCACAACCTCCCGATCCGCCTTGCTCTGTGCATGACAGGGGGCGGTGCCCCAACTCCCCAATCGGCCCTGCTCTGAGCCCGATCAGGGGCTGCACCTAGGGATTGGGCCTGCCCTCTGCCACCCAGGAGCAGGCCTAAGCCAGCAGGTCGTTATCTCCTGAGGGGTCCCAGACTATGAGAGGGCACAGACCGGGCTGAGGGACCCCTCCTTCCCCCCAAGTGCACAAATTTTTGTGCACCGGGCCTCTAGTATAAAATATAAACTTTAAATGTATATGTAATTTTAATAATTGGGCAAATGTGGCCTCTTATATGTGACATTCATTTATACTAGTAGTTTCATTTGAAACTAATCAGATAATTTTTCAAATCTGCTGTTCCCTTTTTAGTCTCTAGCTTTGGATGAATTCCTATCTTTTATATAATCTGATACCAGATTTCTAAAATTATAGGTACTACTTTACTCTAAATCTCTTATCCAGTTTACTCAGAATGTGGTCAGTGTTGGTCAATTCTCTGTTAAGTCTCAAACAATATTGCACATGGCACACAGTTGGCTTTCTTATAGTATGATGCCAAGAATCTAGTAGCTGCTCAATATATGTTCAGTGATATAGAATATGGTATATATGTGTGTGTGTGTATATACATGTGTATATATGCTGGGCTAAGAAAGCAAGGAGCTGGCTTATGAGTAAGTGCAACTGTGAAAACAAAAAAAAATCATATTTTTAAGAATACATACCATTTCACTCTTCAGCAAAGCCAATCCAATTTGATCTGTGTGAACTTTCCTTCCTATCCCAAATCTCTGCGGCCCATAATAATTCACAAACCCTTTATGCTATGAATAGAAAGAAATCAATTCATTAAAAGTATATTGGTAGGGACTGCATGCTTGTGCCCCCCACCCCCCGCCCCAAAGTCATATGTTGAAATGCTTGAGGAGATAACTAGGTCTTGAAGATAGAGCTCTCATGAATAGGATTAGTGCCATTATAAGGAAAGGCCACAAAGCTAGCTTAACCTGCTTTCTGCTATGTGAGAAAACAATGAGAAAACCATGTTGGCACTGTAACTTCATGCTCCCAGCCTCCAGAACTATGAGAAATAATGTTCTGTTGTTTAAAAGTCACCCAGTCCAGGGTTCTTTGTTATAGCCCTGAACTAAGACAAATAAATACAATTATTGCATCAGAATATGTAATCAAATCTTTCTCTTCATATTTATTTTAATAAAGAATCCTGTAATCAGCAATATACAAATGGGGACCAAATGGTCTGAGAGATGCTAGACAATTAAAGAATAAATGATTAAAAGTTAGAAAATAAGCTGAGTGAAAAAGCTTTTAAAATGTTAGCTTTTCATTAACATTATTGAGGGGTTTCCTGGGATGTGGGACTTTTGGTGCTAAAATGGGGCAAGTTCTGGGAAAACTGGGATGAATTAGTTACCTAGCATTATATCTGATCTTTGCCCTGAGCTCTTTCTGAATTTGAGATTCTGCTGTCTGGACATGTTTGGAATAAAAAAACATATTTATTTTCAAACCCAGTTCATCTTTCAGCCATCTCAGTTTCTGAAAGCCTGGGCCAAGACAATAACATGGTGTCACTTCACCAAGAATAGAAAATTGTAATTTATTACTACAACCATTTAAAGACTTTGGTCAGTGGTTAAATATATTCTCACAAAGGAAACACCAGGCCCAGATGGTTTCTTGAAAGAGTCTTCCACACTCACTCTATGAAAGAAGTATATATTTATTCATTCAACATTTATTATTGAGCACCAACTCCAGGGCTGTTCAATAAAGATGCTAAGACAATTTGTTATTGGCATGGTACAAAAGGCACCCTTACCTCATGCTATTCACGAAAATCAATTGCAGATAAAAATAAATACTCCCTGTATTAAATCTCATAGTTAACATTTTAACTATTTCAAATTTGAAAAAAACAATATAAGATAATATCGTAGAATAGCCAGAAGAATTTTAACTACCTCTTCTAATTACTTAGAGCTGGAAATAACAAGGTTTATAGCAATGAGAGACATGACCTTCTAAAACAAAACTTCAAAGACTTCTTACCAGTATTTTCAGGGCTTCTCAACTCCCTTCCCTTATTATGAGAACTAAAGAAAAGTTGGCTAATGCAAGTATTATTCCAAATGGGGATTTTTATAATGAGCAGTTACATATCCATAAGTACCAAATGAGACAGACAATAAATGCTATCAGAGTTTAGACCCCTCTTTTGGTGTTCTGAGCGTCCAATTTCAATGTGGAGAGGGAGTTCCCACGCCAACAAGCAATTCTCTGACATCAGTTGTGTGCCCCACCATTCAACTCAATTCTGACACTATCTACTCAGAGATAGCATCAGATGCTACAGGTTAAGTGGTCAGTCGTACAAGATTGCCACCCCCACCACCTTCAGAAGCCAGGTCAGTCACATACCCAGGCTGCACATGTGCTTCTGATGACCTGCTGTGAACTGAAGGTTACAACAAACACTCCTTGGACTTCAGACACCAGCCGATAGTTGAGGTTGTTACCTGGACTTCTGACCAGCTTGCTTTAAATTAGAAGTTCCCAAGACCCCTACCTCGCGTTCCACTAACTTGCTAGAGAGGCCTGCAGACTCAGAGAAACATTTTACTGACCAGATCACCAATTTATTATAAACTCAGAGTTATGTGACCCAGGAATAACCAGATGGAAGAGATGCATAGAACCTACGTGGGAAGTGGTGCAGAGGTTCTATGCCCTCTCCAGGTGGGCCAATCTCCCTGCATATTCAACTGGAGTTCATCAATCCAGAAGCTCTCTGAATGAACCCTTCTTTTGGGTTCTTTTGGGTTTTTATGGAGGTTTCATTACAGAGGAATGATTAATTAAATCATTGGCTGCTGACAATTGATTCCACTGTCAGCCCCTACCTCCTCCCAATACAGGGGGTGGTACTAAAAGTTATAACCCTGTAATCATAAAGTTGGCTCCATATAAAACCAGCCCCCATCCTTAGGGTCTTTACAAAAGTCATCTCATTAACACAACAAAAGACAACTCTATCACTCTGAACACTTAGGAAACTCCAAATATATATTTCTTATAAATCACAATATAGCACCTCTTTCCTTTTGTAAGAAAGATTATTTTAATAACAGTGTTTCAGGGGTGAAAAGAATTTTAGGTAGGTCTAGAAAAAAAAAGGGAAAACTGTTAGGCAAGATAGATAGCTGCTAGGGATGGAGGAGGGGAAAGTGAGTGTGGAGGGGGGGGGTGCAGTTATCTCACCCACTGAACAAAGAAGTCAGCAGTCTTGGGACTTGCCAAGATAAAATCGCCAGATGTTCTCATACATTATGGGAAAAGCCACAACAATGCAAAGAGGGACCTTGAAATCTAGTCTGGCAGAGGAACCTTGAAACCTATACAGGATGTCCCCCCAAAATACATACACCATATATATATATATATATAAATACTTACTTTATATATAAATACTTTTCATTTTCAAAATGTAATAGCAGCTAGAGCTATCAGCTGTTAAAGTGTGTATACATTTGGGGGCGGGGGGGGGCACCCTTATAAAACCCTTGAACCCTCACCAAGCAGGGCACTCAGACTAGCTGAGTTGCCCATTTGTGCTTTATGCTTTATAAATTCGATTGCTTTGTTTCCTTAATAACTTCATTTGCTTTGTTCAATACTGCTTTCTGTCACTAGTCTGGAGAGAGAGAGAGAGAGAGAGAGAGAGAGAGAGAGAGAGAGAGAGCGCGCGCTGAGGAGGGGAGAGCCCCATCAGACTCAAGTGGCTCCTCCAGTAACAAAACTGCACATGGAGTATAAATTAAGAGAAATCCTATACACAGGTGAATGTGCTGGTTTTAAAATCTTTAATTGGAGGATATTTTCCTGACTCTAAGACATAACATTGATTAAAAACAGTTTTTGTTTGTTTTCCTAGGGGGGAGGCATAAAATTGTATAAAAAGGTCTTCATGGCCAGAAACTTAGATAAGTTTTTCTCAATGTTAGCTACAGAGTAGAATCATTTAGGGAGTTATTTTTTAAAATACTAATGCCTAAACTGCATCCCCAAGTGTTCTTATTTAATTGGTTTGGGGGGTAGAGATTCACTGCTGATAATTTTTTAAGCCCCGCACATTGAGAATTACTGTCCTAGATAAGGAGCTGGCAAACTACTGACTGCCAATGAGTAAAATCTTGCCCAACACCTGTTTTTGTAAATAAAGTTTCATTGGAACATGGCTATGTTCAACCATTTACGTATTGTCTATGGCTGCTTCCACACAATAGCAATAGAATAGTTGCAACAGAGACCATATGCCTACAAAGTAAAAAAATATGTATCACTGGACCTTTATAGAAAAAATTTGCTGACCCATAGTCTAGACCAGTGGTCAGCAAACTGTGGCTCAGCAAACCAGGGCTCGCAAGCCACATGCGGCTCTTTGGCCCTTTGAGTGTGGCTCTTCCACAAAATACCGACTTCTGCGCATGGGCCACAAAGTTTGAATTGCACTGTACATGCGCGCCCACATGTGGCATTTTGTGGAAGAGCCACACTCAAGGGGCCAAAGAGCCGCATGTGGCTCGCGAGCCGCGGTTTGCCAACCACGGGACAATCTGATTGAAGGCTATGGTTGTATACATATATTTAAATGCCTGGCAAATGTCATTTAAAAATACATGTTAAGTAATTTTTTTACTGTAAGACATAATATAATGTATATAATGTCATTTGTATGTATTGCAACAAAATTCAAAATTAAATTGAAAAGAAAAAAAGAATATGTATAATTCTAAAAGATTATTTTCCAAATCACCAAAGATTTCTGAAAAGAATTACTAAACAAAGTTTCCAAAAACATTAATCCCTTTCCCTAAAATATTACCCTATATGGGAGATGCTGAAAAACATTCTTCTTAGTTGGCTTTATTTTTCCCCATCTCTGGGAAACTTTACACATTTTATTTTTTAAATTATATTAAAGTTGTTGTTTAATACAAAAATGTACTAAAAAGAAAATTTAAAAATAAGCCAAATGGTCCTAAATATCATTTAAAAAAATAATTATACAGGCCCTGGCCAGGTAGCTCGGTTGGTTGCATTGTCGCAATATGCAAAGGTTGTGGGTTCGATATCTGGTCAGGGCACATACAAGAAGCAATCAATGCATACATAAGAAAGTGGAACAATAAATCTCTCTCTCTCTCTCTCTCTAATCAATAAAAAATTATACATGTAAATAAAAAGAAAAGGTAAAAAAGAAAAAGTTTATTCTCTCACTTCAATGTAAATAGAGAGACTATCAAAATGTTCCTATAATGCTCTTTTAAAATTGAGTTTTCTTACCTTAACATTTTCTATTGCCTCCAAAATTCTCTCTCTCAGGTTTGCAGAATCATTTACTTGGTTTTTTAAATTTCTGATGACAATATCAAAGTGATTTCCTTTGAGCTGACCAAGTCTAAGGGAATCATCTACAGACCGAATATTAAACACATTCATTCTTTTCTTTTTAATTTCTTTTTCAATATCTTTCAACCTATAAATGACAAATAATATAGACTCAGTTAAATCTTACATTAAAAAATATTATAAGTTTTGAATGACAGTTGCCAGGTAATCACTTACATCATAACACTAAAACAAAAATTTTTTCCATCTTCCAAAGTTAATGTTAATTCAACAAATGTGCACTAACACCCCATTATTATAGGATTATGTTAACCAGTTATTTTAAAAAACTGGGACATGTATTCCTAATGTTATCAACTCAATCTATGTAGACTTTTTGACGTTTTAGTTCAAGTGATATAATTTCTTGACTGTTCTTTTGCTCTTCTTATTCTTAAATTTGTTCCTTTCCTCTCTCTTCCTCCAACATTAAGAAGAAAAACTACTAGCACCAGAGGATTTCCCCCAAATTATGCTCTGAACTCAAACTTCCCATTCTTCCCCAGCATCTAAAGAACAGGCCCCAACTATCTGCAGGACTTTTAAGAGCCTGTACGAACTGGTGTTAATTGTTCTTTACATTCATATCTACTGTAGTTCTTAAGGTTAAACTGTTTTATCAGACAAACTGTTTAGCTTATTACCTCTCCAAATATAGCTTCCAATTTTCTGCATTGTCTAAAACCTTATTATTACTTGACAGGTCATTAAAACCCCACACCCATACGCCAAATCAAAGAACTCTCTCCTAGGAACAAATAATACTTGTCTTTGGGTAATTAAAAACCAGCTTTTGGGGACCCTTTCCCACTCCCCATGTGGGAGTCCATTCTGTGGGACTCTTTCCCTCTCCCCATGTGGGAGTCTGTACTTGTTCAATAAATCTCCACCTCTGCTATTAAAAAAAAAAAAACACCCCAGCTTTTAACATCAAATACCTTTTAACATCTAAAGTCCTTCTCTCTTACCTATACTGCACTTTTGATCATAAAAAGAAAATTATATACTTTTTTTGGTCCCTCATACTAGAGCTTAGAAGCATTTACCTGCAAATAGTGCATACTTAAACATCTACGACTAAGGATTATACATCTATATTACCTCAAATTAGGTTCAATTTTGGCCCAATGATCAACTTTTTGAAAAGTAGCTACAGGGCACAGATTTAAGTACAATAATATTAATCACAGTATTATTTACAGTGAAATATTGAAACAAATTTCTATTTCCAAAATTAGGGAAAAGTTAAATAACTTAGCATAAATAATGGAAAAAATTTTGAAATATTTCATGACATAAATTTTCTTAAAAGGATCTTAATTTTATAAGTAAAATATAAATTGCAAATACAATATAATTTCCACATATATAAAAAGTCTTTGTACAATGTGTATATATAGGATAGTCTCTGAAAAATACATGGAAGGTATTTTTTGTGGCTCAAAATATTATTGTGGTTCTTTCTGAGTAATGGAATTATCAGTGACTTTTAATTTCTTTTTTATATAGCATTTTTTCTATTTTCTAAATATACAATAAACATGTCTTTCTTTGACAATACCAAAAATACTTTTAATAATCAATTGAGCTCAAGAGAGGCTAAATTTGAATGCTTTACTTTCTATTTAGATTTATTTTAAATATAAGGAAGCACAACAATAAAAGTATAAAAGTATTATAGTAAGTAGGAAAAAAAGATTTGTAAGACACTGTCCTGAATATAAATGCATATTTGAATATAGAACAGGATGTTTAGAAACAATTTGATCATTTAAAATCAGCCACTTCTCAAAGTTAAAATTACCTATATTTGCAATGTAAATTTACTAGAAAACTATATAGAAAATAATTATGTTATCAATGTGGAATGTGTTGCTCAATAAGTCTATACTCAGTAAATTAACATTAACGAGGTTAATATGCTCCTAGAATTATTCAGAGTTTAATCCTATATTTTCTTTTTTGATGCAATAAGAAAAAAATTTATCTCTTATCAAGTAATGTTTTATTACCTCTCTGGAGTCACTTTTCTAACAACCATTGCTTGATAGGTGATGGCTTTCTTGTCTTTAAGGCCTGCGTAACTAAAATCTGAAGGAATCACACCAAGTATGACAGCTAAAAAACCAATTGCTTCAAACATTTCTAGATTTTCTTTTTGTAGGGTAAAGGCTGGAAAAAAAAATCTGAGGTTACAAAAAAGGCAGCTACCACACATCAAGTACATCCTTAGCAGACTAACAGATGAATATAATGAATCAAATCATTAATTTAAATGAGTATTTTTTAATAAAAATACAAAATCTGTGTCATACATTTCAGTGGTCATTTTTAAAATGCCAATTGGCTCATTAAAGGTTTATAGAAAAAAAGTCCAAATTCCTTAGTTTGACATTCATATTAGGCCCATTCTCCCTTTTCAGTCCCCACATGTGCCACTTCAATTCATATACCCTATAATACTGATAGAGAATGTCTCATAATCCTTGAGTGAACTAGAGCCTTTCACAGCTTTGTACTTTTGCACATCTGAGTTTCTCTGTCTAAAATATATGTTCCTTCCACTTTGTTTGCCATACTTCTATTCATTCTTCACAATCCAACAGCAGCAGCAGTCCTCCCTCATATTTTTTCCAGGTTACCAACTCTGAATGCTCCCAAAGCAGGGATCATGTGTGTTTTATCAACTATTATATCCTCAGCTTAACACATAAGTATTCAAATACTTGTTGAATCAATGAATAAGTGAACTCCACAAGGAGATGATTGCTTCATCTTGCATGTCTCCACAAATTGTCATTATCTGTATCATGACAGTTAATACCATGTATTAAAATGTATCTCTTTATGGTTTATCCACCCCATAGACTTAGAGTTCCAGGCCAGCAAGCCAGTGAATAAAACAATGCATGCTTCATAGTAGATGGGAGTGAGATTGTGGAGATGAGAAGGAGGTCCAAGCCCACCAAAAAGGCCCCCAATACATTGACCTATATACCCTGCCAGCATTGACAGTGACAAAATACAGCAATCCTCAGTTCACCATATATACCTATAAGATATTTCAGGCCTGGCCGGTATTTCTCAGTGGTTCTAGCATTGACCCACCGACCAAAGGGTCACAGGTTTGATTCCCAGTCAAGAGCAGGTTCCATCCCTGGCCCTGGTTGGGGTGCATTTGGGACGCAATCAATCTAGGTTCATAGGTAGATAGGTACATACATACATTTTTACATCTTTCTACTTGCTGGGTCATGTTTATGTTTAATGTCCATTTTTCTTAGAACACTCTTCAGAGAGGCCCATTGCTGCTGTTTAAAATTATAATTGCACACTTTGAGGGCAAAGTGGGTTTACAGTTATTTGTATGGGAAATAATACAATGATTAATAAATAACAATCTGTTTATATAAAACCCTAATATGCAACTAGACCGAATGGCGGAACCGAAACGAACTGAACAATTGGTCGCTATGATGTGAGCTGACCACCAGGGGGTGCGCGCGGAACATGGCAGGTGTTGGCAGCAGGCAGCAGAATGCGGAACATGGAGGGCATCAGCTGCGGCAGGATGGTGGAGCAGGTGAGTGGGGGCGCCAGACCAAGGCAGGGTGTCGGTCGCTGTCATCGGGGTAAGCCTCTAGTAGTTACTGAAAATTCTTTGCTCCCACGTGCCGTGGTCCCGCCCAGAGCTCGCACCTGCTGCCAGTGCTGGAGCCGCTGCTCACACCCTCTGCTGGCACCAGCCCCACTCGCACCTGCAGCAGGTGCCAGAGCTGCCACTCGCACCCGCTGCCGGCGCCCAGCGCCAGTTCCGATCACCTGGCACCGTCAGCGGGTGCAACTGCTGGCCCCAATCGCCCCTGAGGGCTTCTGCACCTCCCCCTGCTCCTGAGGGGTGATCAGGGCAGCAGACACTGCTCGCACCCACTGCTGCCACTGGCCCCAATTGCTCCACACAGTCAGGGGGTGCAAGCAAGGCCGGCACCATTAGCGCATGGAAGTGGCGGCTGTGGCAGGAGCAGGGCTGGCAGCAGACAGGGGACTGGGGACCGTGGCAGGAGGGGCCAGGTGGGGATGTTGAGGATGGGCCGAGACCTGCCCCTGTGTCCACCGCAGCCTCATGGCCCACAGTTCCTTTCAAGGTGCACAAATTCGTGCACTTGGGCCCTAGTGCAATAATAAACTTCATGTTCTGTGTACTCAGAACTGCAAACCTACTTTTGCCCACCCTGCATATGAAATAGCTAAACAAAGCTTGTAATATCCATACTTTGGAACATCATGTAGAATTTAAAAGAATGGGGAAGAGATACATGTTCTTTATATGTCTATGTAAATAATCTCTAAAAACAGAAATAGCAGGATTCAAAAATACACATAATGTATATCACTTATGTGAAAGTTTTAAAAATCTGCAATGCAACGTAGTATATTTTCAATGTTTCAGTTTTTATAATAAAAATATATTTATATTTTTACCTAAATCCTTAAGAATTGTTAATGTGTAAAACTATAATTTCTGAAGAATATTCAAACACTGTCCACTATTTTCAACTTTTTTTATCACTAGGGTCATTAATTTTTGTACCACCATAACAGCTTCCTAGATTCTCCAAATTTTCTATTACAGCAGTGATAAATTAAATGTACTATGACTCCTGTTTCTTAAAGAACTGATAAAAGAAGTAGAGGAAAGGAAAGGATCATAAAGTTAATTCTGTGTGCTAAATCACAATTTGCTTTTACACTTTCAGGGTATCTTGACCAATGGATTTGAATATAAACCTCTGATTTTAAGTTAGCTGTTTTATCAGTTGTTTCAAATAAAATAAAATTAAATTAAATTAAAACCCCACATTTAAAATGTAGAGATTATAACCTCAAAAATAGTTCAGCCATTGTCATGATAGGATTAATTATAGAATTTAAATAAAATAATCTGGGAAGAAAGGTCAATAAAACAAAAATGATCCCTGCTTTGGGAGCATTCAGTCTTGGAAAAGAATTTGAGAAAGAAGTGCTGCTGTGGTGGGGCCTGAAGAAGGAATAGGAGCATGACAAATAGTCAAAGCAATAGAAAGATCAAAATATCAAATATGCCCTGACCGGTTTGGCTCAGTGGATAGAGCGTCGGCCTGCGGACTGAAGGGTCCCGGGTTCGATTCCAGTCAAGGGCATGTACCTGGGTTGCGAGCACATCCCCAGCAGGGGGCGTGCAGGAGGCAGCTGATCGATGTTTCTCTCTCATCGATGTTTCTGACTCTCTATCCCTCTCTCTTCCTCTCTGTAAAAAATCAATAAAATATATTTTTAAAAAAATATATCAAATATTTTCATATCTGTCCATAATGTTTTCTCTTTTTCAACTACATGCCTGTGTGAACTGAATTCTGTTCATTTGCTTCAGTCAAAACAAAATATTACACTAGATTGCAGGAAAAGAAATGAGAATACAGCTGACTTTTTTATGTCAGATATTAGATTTATAGAACTATAAAATAATAAAATCCTCACTAATTTTTAGTAGAAAAATATGATCATTTTTCATTAAGTGAGGAGAAAAAGATCAAAAATATGAACAATGCAATGGCAATAAATACATACCTGTCAACAATTCAATCTAAAAGTCAAAATAAACGAACAAGGAGTGTAATGAACAAAAAAAAACCTTGATAAATAAAATAGAACCAGGTGGTCAATGGGAGGAAAAGGGGGGACATATGTAATACTCTCAACAATAAAGATTTAAAAATAAATAAATAAAATAAAAATAACATAAAACCAGAAGCATGGAAACATGGAACAGACAGATGAATCTCAGAGGGAAGGGGAGTTGGGGGCTGGGGGGCGGGGGAGGGGGGGGAAATTAACCAAAGACTTATATGCACATAGGCATTACCCCTGGACAAAGACAATAGGGCGGTGAAGGCCTATTGGGGTGGGGTGGGATCCTGGTGGAGGAGGGCAATGGGAAAGAAAAAGGGGAGGACATCTGTAATACTCTCAACAATAAAGATTTTAAAAAAGAAAAATTAAGGGCATTCAGTAGAAACCACAGAAGGATCCTGCTATGATAGTAGAACTATATATGACAGGCTTACAGCAATGTTTACGCTGTACCTCCTTTAATAAAACTCAAAATGAATCCTCAAATGTATCTGCAAATTACTTCCTACTTGCTAAAGCAAAGTTCAACGCTCTTTAAAGGAAGACAACAAAAACTGGGTACTCAACAAAGTAACACACAATGTTTGACCTAAAAAAAATTACTAGACATGCAAAGAAGGAGAAAAATACGACCCATACCCAAACAAAAGTCAGGCAATAAAAATATACCCAGAAATGACAGAGATGGAATTAGCGGACAATAGGTCTTTAAAAATAAAGACCTAGTCAAAATAGGCTCAAAGATTATAGGAAAACGTGAACGTATAAGAAATTGAAGACCTCAGAAAAAAACAAATGAAACTTCCAGAGCTGAGAAATGCAGTATATAAATGAAAACTGCATTAGATGCTTAAATCTTTCATAAAGTTCCTTCTTCAATAATGTGTTCTAGCAAAAGAGTATGGCGCCATCTAAAAAAAAAGTAAACATAGACTTGCCATTTGATTCAGCAATTCCACTTCTGGGTATACACCAAAAAAGGCCCTGAAAACAGGGACCTGAAAATATATTTTTACAGCCATGTTCATCGCAGCTAAAAGAGTGAAACAGCCCATATCCATTGGCAGATGAATGGGTAAACAAAATGGGTTATCTTCTTACAATGGAAGATTGCTCAGCCTTAAAAAGAAAAAAAATTCCAGCACATGTATAACATGGATGAACCTTGAGGACCTTAACCTAAGTGAAATAAGTCAATCACAAAAGGACAAATACTATTGTATAACTCCACTTACATGAGATATCTAAAGTATTCAAATTCATAGAGACAAAAAGCAGAATAGTGGTTGCTAGTGGCTGGGGGGTAGAGGTGAATGAAGAGTTAATGGGAATAAAGTTTCAATTTGAAAAGATGAAAAAGTTCTGAAGGTGGATGGTGGTGATGCTTGTACAACAATATGAATGTACTTAATGCCAATGAACTGTACACTTTAAAATGGTTAAAATAATAAGTTATATGTTACATATATTTTACAACAATTAAAAAATAAAGCTTTTAAAATGTTTTTATTGAATTTTTAGAGAGGGATAGAGAGATGGAAACATGAATGAGAGAGACACATCGATCAGCTGCCTCCTGCACGCCCTGACTAGAGATTGCGCCTGCAACCCAGGCATGTGCCCTGACTGGGAATCGAACCAGGGACCTCTTGGTTCATGGGTTGATGCTCAACCACTAAGTCACAACGGCTGGGCCAAAAAATGAAGTTCTTTTCGAAGTGTTTCAAAGTCCTATTTTTTGATAGAACTACTTATTAAGGGATTTTTTTAAAAGATGACCTACTTTTGTTGTTACAAAATTTGGGATAGGCAATGTTTATCTATCTCTTTTTCTTTGTTCGTGGACTTGTAGGTACACTGGTTATCTTCATACTATCCTCTGGTGAACCATCAATTCCTCCCTTTAACGTATCCCTCCAGTCATTCATAGTTTTTGTAAATCTAATGTAAACCAATATGCACAAAGTTTTCAAAATTTTTTTGGTTTAACTCAAATTAATACCTTTAGAATTTCAAATAATAAAAATCTATAGATGCTTAAATCACTATAAGCAATTCTTCCCCCTACATATAAAGCTAGTTTTGTTTTCCCTTCTAAATAGATCTATCAGCATTTATTGCATGCCTCATGTGTCAAGTCCTATGCTAGCAGCTTTCTCATGGAAAAGACAAGTCACACAACCAGACAGAAAGTTTCAGGAGAGAAGGCACTAACATTTGAGTAACTGTTATGCATTAAACATTTTCATTAATTATTTCCTCTAATATCACTGTGAATTATAGTTTATTACCCCATTAGAATATTATTATGAATTATACTTTATTATTACCCCATTTTAAAAGTACAACCAAAAGTTAGGAATTAAGTAACTTGCCCATGGTATTATTTTTCTCCATTTTTTACATTTGTAGAAACTAAGTCTTAAAGATATTAAAAAGTTCATAAATATTTTTATAAAATAAAATCATAATGTAAAATAAAACCCACACAGTTTCAAGGTCCAAACTCTTTCCATTTACACCACAGAGTCCCTATAAAGTACAATCTTATTTCTGTTGCACACATATCTGGGCAAATTTGGGTTACTGTTTTATCTGAAATACTTTTCTATATAAATTTATAAAACATGACCATATGAAACATCTCCCATCCCTCGTGGAGGATTAAACATGATCAGCCAAACTTGTAGAGTGAGATTTCATCAGTTCCATCCCATCCTAGGAAGTGAATATATCCCCTAAAACAGCGATTCTCAAAATGTGGTTCCCAGACCAGCAGAAAAAGCACCACATCTTCTAAATCATAAACTCTGAGAATAGGACTACAGAAATCTGTTTTAAGAAGCCCTTTTGGTAATTAATTATAACACATGCTAACATCTGAGAACCTCTTCTCGAAAAGATGGACAGAGCCAAAGGAAGGAGCTCCCTGTAAGTTTTCAGGGTTGTGAGGTTCAACTGTCTTAGAATACAAGGTATTCTCTTTACTTTCTCCACCATAGCAAACATACAGATACTTAATTCTAATTAAGATAACTTCCAAAATATTATATCAAAATTTACTCCAGCCCTAACTGGTTTGGCTCAGTAGATAGAGCATGGGCCTGTGGACTGAAGGGGCCCAGGTTCGATTCCAGTCAGGGGCACATGCCCAGGTTGCTGGCTCGATCCCCAGTAGGGGGCATGCAAGAGGCAGCCAATCAATGATTCTCTCTCATCATTGATGTTTCTATCTCTCTCTCCCTCTCCCTTCCTCTCAGAAATCAATAAAAATATATTTTAAAAAGAATTTACTACAATAAAACTAACTAAATACAAAATAACTGCTTCAACCTTATATATTTCAGACTGTTAACTATAAATGTCTGTGTTAACCTATCACCAATAGGGATAATTTCTACAATTAGTGTAATTTTAAAGTCTTTTTCGCCCATTAAGAACAGGCCCACATATTTTTTTTCAATATCCCTCTGGACAAGTCCATTCAATTCATTTGAATTATTCAGCTTTCACTGTTTTTTTTTTTTTTTTTACTGTCACAGTTTTAATTAAGCTTATCAAAGAAAATGGTAATAATTTATCAAATTACCTGTGTATATAACTTTTCTTTCCTGGGATTCAACAGACCTTTTCCTGTGCTTGTGTGCTTTTTCACGAAATCTTACCGTTATCACTGTATTTGGATTACCAGCATTGTAATTAGCTTCAGGAAAAGATTTGGTTTCCACAAGGTTTCCAAACTTTTTGTTGACAAAATGGTGAACAGCTTTTCTGTGGTCTTTGTTTGTATCAGGTTTAAAGGTAAATTTGGAATTTTCTTTCTTTGCATCCAAGTATTTAAAAAAGTCAGATGCTTCTTCTTCAGATACCAAGTGACAGAGTTCTTTATACTCAAGATTTGGTTTTACAACAATTTCACTGTTTTTTCCTACAGTTATTAAAAAAGGGAACTTCTGCCGAATAGCACTATGCAAAATCGCCCTCCGGTTTTTGTCAAGGATTCTGCCCAGTGAGAATTCAGGAGACGGTCCAGTCAGCTCACTTTCAGAATTCCATTTCTCTTTTATATCACAGGCAAACTGATCCAGTAGTTCATTAGTTTTTTCATCCAACAAAGAGCCTAATGCATAAACTCTTTCTTCTTCACCTTTGGAAGTTCCATCATGGATAGCATCTTCCTTTTCTGAACCAGACTGATGATTCTGGTCATCATCGGAGCACCGGACCAATATACTGACTTTCTGGTTGCTTCCCTCTTCAAAGACTAAATTTTGCAGACCTAGTTTGGTTTTTTTGGCAAAATTATTTGGCTCAGGCAGTCCTTTACTCATCTTGTAAATAAGTTCATCAGTGGCCTTATTAACTAACTGTCCCCGCTCATCAATCTCAATAACAACAAAGTCACTTGGCGAGCTTTTTATGGTGCCATGAAATCCGACATGATCAGTAATGAAACATAAAGAACTAAACCTTATTCTAAAATCTGTATCCTCTTCCATTCTTAAATAACAAGGCCTACAAAAGAAATAAAAGTTTCTTCCGTTAGTTACCAGAAAGAAAAGTTGCAGCTAGCCAAACTAAATGTTTGCGGGGTTTATTTAATTATCTTTATCCCTTACAATCCATAAGAGCAAGAGCCTTGTCTGCCTTACTCACTGACTATCTCATAGTTAGAACACTGTCAAGCACATGTGGGCAAGCAGTCAATAGTGATTGCTGAATGAATGAAACGAGTACACAATAAGAACTGGAAGAGTGAAGAGGAAGAGAGATGAAGTCTGCCTCTGTTAACCAGGAAACGCATAATGCAAGAAGTGGCCATCTGAGTCCTCCACACTGTCCAGGCGATGGAAATGATGCCCCTTAGAATCATACGCAATGTCAGACAAAATACGCTATGTGCTAGAAACCCGAACAGCCCAAGTTCAGAGCAGCAGGAGAAAAGACGGTTGGGTTAGTGACAAACTATGGAAGACACTTGATGCCCTGCCAAGGCCTTAGCATCCACTGAGGGGTCCAAGGACGGCCGCGGGAGGTGTTCGGGTGGGAAAATGACACCGTCCCCGGAAAGATGGTTTAGCTCGATGACTGCGGGCACTGAGCAAGGCACACCTGACGAAGAGTTAGGAGCTGGAAAGCAGTGTCACCAAGAGCACGGCTGTAAGCCTGGCCTTGGAAAGAACAATGCTGCACTCTTTCCCCAGCAAAAGGACGGGGGCATTCTAAGCTGGAACAACTTGGGGGGGGGGGGGCGCGTTTCCATGAGGGAGTGACAACCAAGCAGCCTGGTAAGAGTGGGTCCACGTGGAGCTGCGCACCAGGTTCCTCAGCTGCAGATTTGCTGACGAGGGTGCGGGGTGGAGAGGGAGAGGACAGTCTCACACACACACACACACACACACACAGTTGGAAACAGCTGGTTGAGGGCAGATTCCGGCAAAATGATAGAAATGGAGGCAGGGAGCCCCTTTCCCCTCCTGCTCTTACTTCCCTAGACGCCAAAGCTCGGCTGAGCTCACTCCTACATCCTAGTGCCGTCCCCAGGCCACGGAGCTCACGTCTGCGGCGTCATGCCCTGCGGCGCGTCCAAAAGTGCCCCAGACCCCGCCGGGTTCTCCCTCCCTCCCTCCACCTGCCTCTCCCTCCCCCACCCCCGCCTGCCCAAGGCGAGATATTGGCCCAAGTCGCCTCCTCTTGGGGGTCGAGAGTAGGGGGCCCCAATGCCAATCACGTCATCGCCCCACACACAAGCCCGGGATCGCGCAAGGAGCCGGACCCCGTCTACCTCACATACAGGTGAAGGCGTCCACCGGCACAAGCCAGGGCGCCTGCCGGGAAACACAATATTTAGCCGCCGACAGTGGCGTATTTAAAGGGGCAGGCTCCGACAGTGGCATATTTAAAGGGGCAGGCTCCCCACTTAAAGTAGCGCCTCACGCGAGACCTAGAATTTCTCACGTTGTGGAGCCGCCTGAAGGCTCGGAAAGGCGGGGGGGGCGGGACTGAATGGAGCCGGGGCGGAGCCTACAGGGTTGGGTCCGCCCCGCCCCGCCCCTTCCAGTGCACTGGCTCCTCCTCCACGGGCTCAGCTGGGCAGGGTCCGTCCGGTCCCGCGCTCCGCGCTCGGACAGGTAAGGGGTTCAGGCTGTGTGCGCCTCCTTCCCCGCAGGTGGTCGGAGGTCCGCTCCGGCCGCCGACCCTCTGCCCAGGGTTGTTGAGGGGCCGTTTCAAGTCGCCTTGTCTTCCAAGTGAGAAAAGTTGGAGAGGAAGTAGGGCGCGTGGGCAGAGCTTGCTCCACAGTGAACACTGGGGTGGGTGCTCGGGCATCAGAAAGTGCGGCGCACCCGAGAGGAACCCGGGCGAGGAAGGGCCTCGCCCAGCGGCCCCGGGGCTGGGCCGGACCCCGCTCCCCGCTCCCCGCCCAGGGGATGTGTTCCGAGAACCCGGCTAGGAAACCTCTTCCCCTGAGAACCAGGAAGTGAGGCCAGCACCCTGCAGAGATGCTCCGGACGTGCAAAGCATTGCTTCTCCAGGAGAGTCGAATTAGCTCGTTTCTCCTGCTTCCAAGCTCCCAGGAAATTAGAAAGTCGAGAGGGGTTGTGGGGATCAGGTAAGTGCAATGTCAGACTGGCAAAGTGTACCTGATAAAACAAGGCTGACAGCATCTGAAAAGCTTGGCTGTATTCTCAGACCTCTCATTCCTGCTCTCGGTAGACCCTCACCACCATGCTGAAAACTGAGCTTAAATATAGCTCTGTACATTTATTTTTTTTTAATGTGATATAACAATAACTTCTGCCATAAAATAATTACCTCTGCTGTTTTTTTTGATCACCTGTTATTGACAGGACTAGGTCCTTGACGTTTGCTGATGTTAAAGCTAATAGCAACTCTTAGGTATTACCATCTCTGTTTTGCAGTTGAAGAAACCAAGGCCCAATGAATTGAGTGATTGCACTGGTCACAGCTGGTTTGTGGAAGAACTATATTGGAACCCAGGCCCATGCAACCTCACAATCCATCTTCCCTCCACCTCTCAACACTCTCTTCCTCTGACCAGAGTGCAACTGAAGCACAGTCTGAATTAATTCATTTGACAAGAATTTTTTTAATCCTATCTGGGGCACAGTCCATTGTCTGTTTCAGAAGGTGCATATGAGTGGGAGGCGTTGGGTTCCACAAGCTGACACTGGTTTTAGTATATTTCTCAGTGATCAATTTACCTTGTATTCTTGTCTGAGTTGTCTTGTTTGAAAATGTGAATGATGTTCCTTTACCATGAAAATCAATGGTATGGGAAAATAGTCATGGAGATATTTATTATTTATTTATTTATTTATTTATTTATTTATTTATTTATAAGCAATATGTCCCATTGCACTTCCATTACTCTTAAGTACACTAAAGTAAAATCTTGAATACTTTGAAAGAGGTGATATTTAAAAAACTTGTTTTTGCACAGATCACTTATTTTCACTATTGGTGATGCAGTAAAGCAAATGAAAGAACCACCAGAAAGTTCATTTTCAAGAGATAACTACAGTTAACATTTTGGTGCATATTCTTCCAAATATGTGTTAGGGGTGATATATGAATGTATATTTAAAGAAAAATTTTAAATTTTGAGATTTAAAACTTTAAGATATATATATGTGTGAAGGGCTTGTTAGAAAGCCTTCCTTTTTCTGGCATCCCTATGCCATCACCTCTGCTAGAAATCTGGGTGCTGTAGAGCTGATTTTAAGATAGCCTGTTTTTATTCTCAATTCCCTGTATCTTAGCTCTAGCTTTGAGGATTACTAAGCAGTTCTACTTTTATGAGCTTTGTCAGTCACACAGTAGAAATCTGAATAAATAAGAAAAAATAATGTATATAGAGCAACTGCAAAATCTATAGGCTTTTAGGATTTCTTAATTTTAAAAAAATAAGTCTTTCTCTCATTTAACACAAATATTGTGAGTAGCTGCTAAAGTTGAATTTTGTTGGATCTCTGTCCAGATAGCAGATTGTATAGGAGATAAGGTAGACAGATCTATAATAATAAAAGCATAATATGCTTATTAGACCAGACAGCCGAATGACCTTCCGGAAGTCCTTCCGGATGAAGCCGCAGTGGCGGGGCCGAGGCAGAGGCAGTTATGGGCAATGAAGCAGGCAGGCGAGTGGTTAGGGGTGATTAGGCAGGCAGGCTGAGTGGTTAGGGGTGATCAGGTAGGCAGGCGAGTGGTTAGGGGCAGGCAGGCAAGTGGTTAGGGGTAATTAGGCAGGCAGGCGAGTGGTTATGGATGATTAGGCAGGCAGGGGCAGCTAGGGGCAATCAGGCAGGCAGGCAAGTGGTTAGGGGTGGTCAGGCAAGCAGGAGAGTGGTTAGGGGCAATCAGGCAGGCAGGCAGGCCAGTGGTTAGGAGCCAGCGGTCCTGGATTGGAGGGATCGGGCCTAAACTGGCAGTCGGACATCCCCACAGGGGTCCCAGATTGTGAGAGGATGCAGGCCGGGCTGAGGAACACCCCCTCCCCATGCACGAATTTCATGCACCAGGCCTCTAGTAAACAATAAGTTATGATAACTGTTTTAATAGAAAAACAGTTTGAAGCAAAAGACATTAGGGTGACAGTTTGAAGCAAAAGACATTAGGGAAAGTCATAGTTCCTTTTGCGTTGGACTTGATGGGATAGTAGACACTTACCAGGTGGCCCTCAAGGTGCCGGGGCAATTCTTTTAGTTAGCTCTAGATGACCTTACCTCCTGCTTCACAGAAAAAATAACGATGTGTGGGAATTCTTTCTCTCCCTTCAAATATACCTGTACTCAAACCTCTGCTTCCCTCTTGCTAGATTCAGAAGAGGTTTCCTTCTGTTCAAGGCTGACCTCTTAACCTATACTCTATTCACTATCCCCTTTGTATCTTCATCCAAGGTTTAAGTCTTGAAACAAATATTAAATCAGCAGTTCTCAGGGGATGGTTGGGGTCTCTCAGTCTCTTTCAGGAAGTTCATAAGATCAAAGTCACATTCAGAGTGAAAGATTCATTCAGAGTGCTATGGATTTTTGTGTATGATATATAGATGATATATCTTATTGACACTATTACAGATTTCCACCACCACCACCCATCCCACCTCTACACAGTCCCTCCACCCCACCCTCACCCCGGGCCTTCACCACACTATTGTCTGTGTGCACATGGGCTATACCTCTATGTTCTCTGGCTAATCCCTTCACCTTCTTTCATCCAGTTCCTTCCACCCTCCTCCCCTCTGCCATCTGTCAGTCTGTTCCATGTATCCATGCCTCTGTTTCTATTTTGTTCATTAGATTCCACATATAAGTGAGATCATATGGTATTTGTCTTTCTCTGACTGCCTTATTTCACTTAACATAATAATCTAACAAAAAAATAGGTATAATTGTGATTCATTCCTACCAGACGGCTATTGTGTTGGCTGTTGTCATTTTTCTACTTGACAATCTAAGGGTAAAGCGGTCAGTGCTCCTGACTAGTCAGGTATTCCACGTTTTAAACATTCTTGCGGCACACCAGTTGAAAATTGCTGTACTTGGTAATAGGAGCTACAGAGAAGAGAAAATCTTTGTTTTCAAGTTTTTCAGTCTAGCAAGGGATAAAACAATTATGAAGGATAAATGTTGTAATAGGTGTGTGCAGAGTGTGACGAGATCCAGAGAAGGAGCATCAAGCTGAGCCAGTCTGAAGGAGCTGTCTTAAGACAGATTTGGGTGAGGTGGGAGAAGAGAAGAATGAGTGGAAAGGATTAAGGATAATTCTCCCCCATCAAAAAAAATCCAGGCATCAGTAATAGCACAGGAGGGCTCAAGCAAGGAGTTTGCTATGGCTGGATCATAGGATACATGCCATTAAGTAATAAGAGATGAGGTCAGAGAGGCAGGCAGGGCCAAATCATCATGTGCCTTACATACTATGACAGGAGTTTAAACTTTGTACTGAAAGGTACAGGGGAGCCATTTCAGAGTTTTCAGGAAAGGTATTATGTGATCTTACTTGGTTAAGTGGATTCCTCTAAAATGAAAAATTGAAGGGAGATCAGTTTGAAAACTTTGTAATAATCTAGGAGAAATGAAAACCTGGAAATAGTATACAATCAAGGAATGGAGAAGAAAAGATTAAAAGATTTAGGAGACCAAATCAAAACAATTGAATGAGAGATATGATAGAAGAAAGAAAGAAGAGTGAGGGAAGCAAAGAAGCTGATTCCTGGCTTTTTTGGCTTGGCCAATTAGGTAGATGGAGGAAATAAGTTCTGGTCACATTAAATGTAAATACCTACCTCTGTCATCATCTAGGGGAGATGGCACTAAGTAGATATATGGTCCAGAACTTAGGAGAGAGATTTAGGTAAAGAATGTTTACTATATGAGAATTCTCACATATTGGTACAGGGGTGGGCAAACTTTTTGACTCGAGGGCCACAATGGGTTCTTAAACTGGACCGGAGGGCCGGAACAAAAGCATGGATGGAGTGTTTGTGTGAACTAATATAAATTCAAAGTAAACATCATTACATAAAAGGGTACGGTCTTTTTTTTTTTTTAGTTTTATACATTTCACACGGGCCAGATCCGGCCCGCGGGCCGTAGTTTGCCCACGGCTGTATTAGTATATGAATAGAAGGTTGAAGTAACAAGTATATATTAGTGAATAAAATGACCAAGGTCCCTGAACTCATGGAACTTATAGTCTAATGGTGGTGACAGCCAGTAAACAACTAAACAAGTAAATATATGATTACAAATAAATTGTGCAGTGATGAAAGATAATTAGGCTGAAGGCAGACAGACCTACTTAGATATTGTGGTCAAAGAAGGCAAAAGAGAAGAAAATGCTAATATAAAGGCCTAGGTTATAGGGAGGCTTTTTGCTTATAGATTCTGGATTTTGTACCCCATGAATATATTCTTTATTCCAAATATTAATTGTATGGCATCTTAAAATAAAAAATATACAGGGGAGGAGAATAATTGCAGAAGAATATCTGAGTCTATGTGTCTTGATTAATTAGAAGGAAAGGTAACCACCTACTGAGAATGAGGGTCATGGAGATAAAATAAAACCACATATAGAGAAGTAAAGGTGTGAAATAGTTCGCTAAGGACAATGAGTGAAGACAAGTAACAGGATTAATGAGTGTGTTGAAGGCCCAATGGAAAAGGGGTTCCCGTAAATTTGTATTCACACCAATATGCTCAGTTGTCATCTGGTTCTCTAGCTGTATTCAGCAGCACTGGTGCACAAGTAAAATGGTGAGATTTATCCCTAGCTGCAACTCTCCAAGGTGGAATAGCAGGAGAAAAAGGGAGCAGAGGAAATAAAGATTCTGTCTAGAGCAGGGGTGGGCAAACTTTTTGACTCGAGGGCCACAATGGGTTCTTAAACTGGACCGGAGGGCCGGAACAAAAGCATGGATGGAGTGTTTGTGTGAACTAATATAAATTCAAAGTAAACATCATTACATAAAAGGGTACGGTCTTTTTTTTTTTTTAGTTTTATTCATTTCAAACGGGCCGGATTCAGCCCGCGGGCCGTAGTTTGCCTACGGCTGGTCTAGAGAGTAGTTAAGGTGGTAAGCCATAGGGTTTGGCTTAGTAGAGAATGAATTGTGATCAGATAGAGCTGATGGACTCAAAAAAGGTGGAGGCGTACCGGGAAGAGCATGTTATGTAAAATGTTGTTGGGATAGACCATATCTTTTAATGCTACACAAATTATTTCAGGAAATTTATATTTCTTCTACCAAAGAGTATTGCATAAATATTTAATAGAAATAAATACTGACTGGTAAACCTATTTTAAATTGAAAAATAAATCTCTTTTATTAATAGATTTCATTCCTGAATTTGTTCACAGTATTTTTTCTGAAAAAAGTAAACTTTTTGCTCCTTTATGTAAATTTCACTCAGAAAATGTCAGTATCAGGTAAAAAAATATAATTTCTTAATTGATATTATAGGTAGAGAAAAAAAGCAAGTCCAGAAGATAGACAAATAAACCACAATTTTAATTTATTCTTTAGATATTAACTATAGTTGACCCTTGAACAATGCAGGGATTGGGGTGCCGACCCCCACGCAGTTGAAAATCCTCGTGTAATATTTTACCTTCTGCAAGTTTAACTACTAATAACCTACTGTTGACTGGAAGTCTTTTGTGCACTCTAGGACCCTTATTCTGAATTCTTTTTCTGTCATGTTGCATGCCTCTGTATTACTTAGCTGCTTTTCTGGAGAGTCCTCCTTCTCTTTCCTTTGGGGGTTTCTTTGTCTACCCATGTTTGATCTCACTGACATATCTAGACGTTGAGTCGTTCAGTGGCTGCTCCCTGGGTGGCAGTGGCTCCTTGAGCTGTGGTTGCTCCTCGGGCAGTTGCGGTAGCAGCTGCTCCTCAGTTGGCAGCAGCTCCTCTTGTGGATGCTATTCACAGCTGTGGTGTCTCTTCTGGCTGGTGGGGGGAGGCTTCACGGCTGCTGTTCCTCAGACAGAGGGTGTGGTGCTCAGGAGGCTGCTGTTGCTTGGATATGCTTTCCAGGGGAGTTCTGCCCTTCCTGGCTGCAAACCGTCTCACCAGCTGAGTAATTTTGCCAATTCGGGGTGGGTGTTATTAGTTTCAGCTGCTCACTCCATTTGCTCCGGGACACGACCTGGGACGCGTCTGCCTATATCGCCGCCATCTTCCGTCTGGAAGTCTTAAAGATAACATAAACAGTCAATTAACACATATTTTGTATGATACATTTTTGTGTTAGATACTGTATTCTTAACACAAAGTAAGCTAGAGAAAAGAAAATATTACTAAGGCAATCATAAGGAAGAGAAAATACGTTTATAGTGTTTATGGAAAAATACCTATATATATAAAAGCCTAAGTGACCAACCATTCGACCGGTAGCTATGACGTGCACTGACCACCAGGGGGAAGACATTCAATGCACAGGCATGGAAACATGGAACAGACTGATGAATCTCAGAGGGAAGGGGGGAGGGCAGAAAGAGATTAAAGATCTTATATGCATACTAGAGGCATGGTGCACGGATTCGAGACCAGTGGGGTCCCTCAGCCTGGCCTGCACCTTCTCGCAATCTGGGACCCCTCGGAGAATGTTGGACTTCTGGTTTCAGCCCAATTCCCGCAGGTCAGGCCGAGGGACCCCACTGGTGCCTCTAGTCTACATATAAGTGGACCTGCACAGCTTAAACCCCTGTTGTTCATGCATCAACTGTAGTTGACTTTGGACTGTTCCTTTGTTATAGTGTATGTAATCAGTTGCCAACAATTCATATGTTATAGCAGAGTGAAATATAAGCTTATAAATATCATCACTAAAACTACTGTAACATTTTAACGAGAATTTTTTCTATTATAGGAATAGAAGATGAACAAACCAATAACACCATCAACATATGTACGCTGCCTCAATGTTGGACTAATTAGAAAGCTGTCAGATTTTATTGATCCTCAAGAAGGATGGAAGAAGTTAGCAGTAGCTATTAAAAAACCATCTGGTGATGATAGATACAATCAGTTTCACATAAGGTAATGTATAAAATTCTTTTCCTTTTTAAATTATTACATCACAATCTAAAATGACTAATAGGTATAAATGCTGTCTAATATTGCAGTTCAGAAAATAAACCTCTCCCCAGTGGAGATAATGGTAATAAGTACCCCCTCCTTGTTTTGCAATGTTTGCTTCATTCAGCTAGGCTAATATTGTGATCTTGCAAATAGGTTTTTGGATTAGAATCCAGATTCCCACTTTTATTTTGATTCTGTTTGGCAAGCCGAGGAGTATAGTTCAGTCTGCTTCACACTGTCATTTCCAGTTTGAAGTAACAAAAATATTATAAGAATTGCTAGCACAATTCTGGAACCTAAACTTCTATGTGTATGAATCTCCAATTCACTTTAGCAGTGTATTTTGGGATTTCAAATGGGCATTTCCTAGTTGCTCATAAATGTATACATCTATGGACAGAATTTTTATTTCTTAGCTAGAATTTCTCAACACTATCTTCAGATAATTTCTATTCTTTCTCTCTATTCATCTCTGCTGAATTTAGTATAGAATATAAATACAGATTTTATTGTGGTCAGTTATTTCAGCTCAAACCTATATCAAAATCTGTCTTTAGAAACAAGTGGAGTCTACGGCCACACCACCCTGAACGCGCCCGATCTCGTCTGATCTCGGAAGCTAAGCAGGGTCGGGCCTGGTTAGTACTTGGACGGGAGAAACAAGTGGAAAAGAAATGTTGCCTTGGCCAGTGTGCTAAGTGGTTAGAGCATCACTCAAGCACCAAAGGGTCACGGGTTCAATTTCCAGTCAAGGGCGTGTCCTGGTTTGCAGGTTTGATCCTTTCAGGCACATGGATGCATGGGAGACAACTGATCTCTCTCTCTCTCTCTCTCTCTCCCTCCCTCCACTCCCCTGCCCTCCCCTCCCCTCCCCTTCCCTCCCCTCCCCTCCCCTCCCCTCCCCTCCCCTCCCTTCCCTTCCCTTCCCTTCCCTTCCCTTCCCTTCCCTTCCCTTCCCTTCCCTTCCCTTCCCTTCCTCCTTCTCTCCCTCCCTTCTCCTTTACTTCCACTCTCTCTAAAAATCAACGGGAAAAATATTCTTGGATGAGGATTAACAAAAATAAGAGGAAAAGAAATGTATTTGTGATTTTCAGTATTTACCTAATAAAGAACCTAAAACCATGGCTCCCTTCCAGGAAATGTTTCCTCATATGAAGGATGAACATCTTAAATTACTTAGAAAAAGCTTCAGTTCAGAGCTTGCCAGCCTATTTTTTAAGATAGTTTATTGATATTACTATTAAAATCTTTGGAAGATGAGAGAGTGGTGGTGAGAGGAAAAGCCCTTCTTTGCAGAATAATGGCAGCAAATAATTATTGAAAGAATGATAGAATTAGAAAGTTACTGATTTACAACTACCAATGAGTAATTAATTCATACAAGGCTCCTCAGTGACTGCTAAAAGAAAAACCACAAAGTGAAAGGTTATTGATGAGCAAGACTGCACAAGATTTGAAATTATTATCCACAGTTTACTTATGAATTATGAAGGGAAAATAGAGAAATTTCTCTATAAAAAGAGAAAAAAATCTGAAGCATTCTTTCTTAACCAAGGAATCAAACTTTGCGTTACCAGTAATGGTACAAACAGCCATTATGTGCCTCCAAATGTAACACACACGCACATACAGAGAGAGAGAGAGAGAGAGATGAGAGAGATGGAGAGAGACAGGGAGAGAATGCATGCAAGAGCACAAACATGGCAAAATGTTATCAATTGGTCAATTGGTGAAACTACATGAAGGGTAAACGGTTGTTCATGTTATTACTTTATTTAGAATTTTTCAAAAAGAAAAGTTTTTAAATGTTACTTTTCAAAATTAGTTTTTAAAGAAGTGGGAATGCAAAACTTATGTTTTTAAAATTTAATTGAAATATAGTAAAGATGAAAGGAATACTTCTCCAAGTTTATGTATATTCTATTTCTTTAAGCAAGTTTGTTAAAAACCATTTGACTAACAGAGTTAATATATCATGTAGGGAAGTAATAGAGCTTTGTAGGTTGAGAGCACACTCCTATGTCAAGTGAAATCGGAATTTGGATCTTAATTTAGATACAGCTTATTGGCTGTGTGGCTATGAGCTGCTTACTTTACCTCTCCATGCCTGGCTTTTTCATTAATAAATTAGTATGATATTCATAGTGCCTGTCAGAATAAAATGGTGCATAGTGTACGTCCTGTGGTCCACTGAACAAATACTCAGTAAGTGCTCAGTATGTGTTAACATATTATCACCTTCACCATCTTTTTTCCTTCTGCTTATTCTTTCCTATTTTCTGTAATTCTTGCTGGTTTTCATTTTTTTTTTTTAATATATTGTAATTGATTTCAGAGAGGAAGGGAGAGGGAGAGAGAGATAGAAACATCAATGAGAGAGAATCACCGATCAGCTGCTTCCTGCACGCCCCTTACTGGGGATCTAGCCCGCAACCCAGGCATGTGCCCTTCTCTGGAATAGAACCCAGGACCTTTCATTCCATAGGCTGACACTCTATCCACTGAGCAAAACCAGCTAGGGTCTAGATGGTTTTATTGTCCCTTTTTTTTTTTTTTTTAAACATTATATGCAGTGCTGTCAGAGAACGGAACAGGGGGATTAATTCCTATTTTCATGTTAACTCCCTTTACATACTAATTTTGTTTCTTTGTTGCTTTTAAGGAGATTTGAAGCATTACTTCAAACTGGAAAAAGTCCCACCAGTGAATTACTGTTTGACTGGGGCACTACAAATTGCACAGTTGGTGATCTTGTGGATCTTTTAATCCAAAATGAGTTTTTTGCCCCTGCGAGTCTTTTGCTACCAGGTAAACTGAGTGTGGCTAGGGCATCAGCAATGAGGGTGGAAAGACAAGTGGCAGAAATAGGACCATTTCTTCTTACTCTGACTTTTTTCTCATAGCAGATGAACCTGACATTTGAGGCTCCTTTTCATTCTTTCAACTGTCCCCAACTCTTAACAAGCACCCCACACATAGGGCACTGCAGACTTACTTGCTGTTAAAGAGATGGAGGCTTCATGATTGAGTCTGATCCCGCCATTAAAGTAAGGTAGTTTGGTGCCAGTAGGAAGTTTAAAAGGATGGGAATTAGATATTATTTGGGGGATTTTTTTTTAGCTCTTATTTTTTTTTCACCCTCCACTTCCATGCCAATAGGACTCTGTGGTCATGATTTCTTTACACTGTATACTGGTGGGTTAGTGCCTTGTTGCCTTCCTCATAACTTTACCTTTTCCCTTGATGTCATTTACACCAGTGGTTCTCAGTGTACATCAGAATCATCTGGGGTTTCTGTAAATGGGTAGCTTTCTGGGCTCTATTATAGACAACATTATTGGAATTCTGGAATTGGGTTCAAGTACTTCAGAGCTTCTGATGCAGGTGACTCATAGGCCATTTTTTTAAAACACTGCCTTACCTATCTTTACCAAAACAAAATTCTTACTAGGTAGCTTCTTGTGTGTGCTGTGAGAATATGGGGCTAATGTTGAAACTGGAATGATGTTAAGTGAACCAAGTCCTAGATTAACTTTTTCACTATTTCTACGGAAGGACAACTTGTGTCTTACTTCATTTGGCAGATGCTGTTCCCAAAACTGTTAAAACACTGCCTTGTAAAGAAGCTGTAACAGTTGAGCAGAGTCAGATGCCTCTCTATGATAAAGACAGGTCATTTGTGATACCTGTGCGGAATCCTGAACAAAATCATATGCCACCTGACTCCTCAAGTACAGAAAGTTTAGAAGTTAGTGATACACGTAAGTAACATTTGCAGTGCATTCCACTAGGGCAACGATCTTTAACCAATGTGCCGAAAGAATTTTTAAAACATGCAATACTTGACTGTTTAGTCAGAGGCATTAACCTCTTTTTCCTTACATTGTCAAATTTAAAAAATGACAACAGCCAATACAACAATAGCCATATGGTGTGAATATATCAAAAGTATACCTATTTTGCCTGGCCAGTGTTGCTCGCTCAGGGGTTGGGTGTCGAACCATGAAACACAAGGTCACCAGTTCTATTGCTGGTCAGGGCACATGCCCGGGATTGTGGGCTCAATCCCCAGTAGGGGGCGTGCAGGAGGCAATTGATTGATGTTCCTCTCTCATCAGTGTTTCTATCTCCATCCCTCTCTGTCTCTCTCTAAAAAAATAAATATAAAACATAAAAAATTATACCTATTTTTTTTTTGTCAGAATGGCAAACTTTTTTTTTGTATTTTGCAGAATTTTATTAATTAGCTTATGTGTGCCGTGAGGTGAACAAGGTTGAAAATTGCTATACTGGTGGCTTGTCATTAAGACCATTACCACTGCCCTAACCGGTTTGGCTCAGTGGATAGAGCGTCAGCCTGCGGACTCAAGGGTCCCGGGTTCAATTCCGATCAAGGGCATGTACCTTGGTTGCTGGCAACATCCCCAGAAGGGGGTGTGCAGGAGGCAGCTGATCCATGTTTCTCTCTCATCGATGCTTCTGACTCTCTATGCCTCTCCCTTCCTCTCTGTAAAAAAAAACAACAACAATAAAATATATTTTTTAAAGACCATTACTACTAAAAACAAATTCCTCCTTTTGTTTGTGCACACTGGCAAAAGCTCTTGTGTAGTTTTTCCCCCTCCTGACTTACTAAGCACCATCTTCATTGTATAAGTCACCATGTTATCAGTGAGTAGAGGCCATAAGTAAATATTTACCTAACTTGAAAGGTTTATTTTATGAAGAAAACAAGTGACTAAAACTTTTATTTAAAAATTGTTTTGTTCCCTAACTGGTTTGGCTCAGTGGATAGAGCGTTGGCCTGCGGACTGAAAGGTCCCGGGTTCGATTCCGGTCAAGGGCATGTACCTTGGTTGCGGGCACAACCCCAGTGGGAGATGTGCAGGAGGCAGCTGATCGATGTTTCTCTCTCATCGATGTTTCTGACTCTCCATCCTTCTCCCTTCCTCTCTGTAAAAAATCAATAAAACATATTTTAAAAAATAAAAATAAAAATTGTTTTGCTCTCCTCATTGTGCCTAATCCAGAGTAATAAATATTAAAATATAAAATACTTAAATTGATAAAATACTGGAATTACTAAAACCACTTCTTTACTGAAGCACTTTTCTCCTTTATTGACATTATAGGTTTTCACAGCTTTTCATTTTATGAGTTGAAGGATGTCACAAATAACTTTGATGAGCGCCCAATTTCTGTCGGTGGCAACAAAATGGGAGAGGGCGGATTTGGAGTTGTTTATAAAGGCTACGTGCACAACAGGACTGTGGCTGTGAAGAGGCTTGCAGCAGTAAGTTTTATTTCCAGGGATAAAAAGATTTAAAGGAAGAGTTACTTCCTAGTGTGCTATAGAATAAGTTTTAAATTAATCTTTAGGAAATATATTATTTGAGTGCATATTTTCTTTAAATAAACATCATTCTAAGCTGGTAGTCCTTAACATTTAAAAGTCTGTTGAAAGCTCTGGGTCCTATCTCTACCCAAAATGTAGTTATGCACACATATACAGCATTATTCATACAATTATGGTAGATTCACAAAATAAAGTTGAGAACCCCTGTTTCACACAGTGCTTCATGCATAATGAAGATTAAAATAAGATACTAAGAACATTTTATAAAAATAACTTTCTTGTACTTTCTCATTTAAAAATAAAGTTTATAAAATGTACATTAAAAAATGCAAAATTTCTTTTCTATATCCTTTGTTCCCATTTCTGTTAGGGTAGTCATCTTTTACTTATTGATTTGTTATTTTCTAGATTTGTTGTTAGATTTTTTAAAATATCAATATAGTACATATTTATATGACAAAGAGAGTCACCCTGTTATATATGCTAAAAAAAAAAAATTTTGCAGGTTTTATTTTTCTTTTTGCCTTTAAATTCACGTGTTTTCTGCTCCACAGAATTTTTTTCAAAATGTTTATGCAGTAAAGTCTCATATAATTTTTTTTCACTCCCACAATAACTCAATGAAGTTTATATTTTTACATGGTTTATAAGATTCTTTTCCTTCCACTAACCAGCCATGGAACCTTGAGCAAATCACTAATATTTCTAGTTCTCAGATGTTCTATAAAATGGGGAGAATAATGCCTTGCTATTTTAAGGAAAGCAGTATCAGCCAATTGATCTCTTTAGCCATGTTCTAGCATTAGGAGCCTTAGGGTTATTGTATTGTGTTATATTGTATATTATTTTTTCAGGTAGTTGACATTAGTACTGAAGAACTGAAACAACAGTTTGATCAAGAAATAAAAGTAATGGCAAGGTAAGTTTATTTGGTGGTGTGGTGTAGTGGAAAAGAGCATGGCAAGGAATGAGGGATCTAGTTTCTTACCCCAAGGGTACTGTGAACAAGTGATATTTTCACATATATACAAATGAAATAAAGGATTTAGATTAGAGCAATTTAAAAATTTTTGACTACAATTCCATAACTACACATACCCATATGCCTGTAGATTAAACAGCAGTCATTATTTTAAATCGTAGCAAAGTTACATAGACTTTCAACTTCCTTCCATTATCATGTTTTCTGCTCCCAGGATTTATGAGAGATAAATTGTAGATATAAAAAAAAAGTATAGTATAATGGGCTCTTAGATATAAGTTAACACCCATAAACCAGGGAAGTGTTATATACCAGAGTGTTTAGAAGGTCTTGATCCAGTATGCTTGAACATTGTTGGGCATCATCAGGGAAAGTAACAGAAACAAATTAGGAAATTTATTCTAATAATTGTAATAATGGATACTTGAGTTTACATAGTGTACAAGACACTGTACAGTATATTTATGTGCATTGTCTCATTTAATCCTAACAATAATTGTTATAACCTCCCTCCCAACATTTTTTTTCCCCCCACTGAGATTTAGAAAGGTCATATAGCCAATAAATATTAGAACTGGGTTTCAAATACAGATCTGTCTGATTCCAGAGCTTGAGCTTTTGATATGAATTTTATTAGACCCATTGCTATAAATCACCAATTCTAGTTGCTTAACCTCAAGAAAGAAATAATAGACTGGAATTAATTTATTTATAGTAAAAATACTCCATAGTGATAAGAAAAATTAAAACACTTTTACAATTTGTTCTCCTCATTTCTACCCCCACTCTCCAATCCTAAAGTAACTTGTTCAAAGTAGGTAATCTGGGAAATATAGGAAAATATTTTTAAAATAATAAAAATCACCTCTTAATTATATCACTCAGAGATAACCACTGCTGATATTTGATGTACTTTCTTCATGATATCTGCATAGCATTTCCCCAAGTCATTAAAAATAATTTTAAAACATTTTAAATTATTGTATAAAATTCTGTCATATATGAGGATTATGTTTTGTTTAATCATTACCCTATTAGGTTTGTTTCTGATTTTCAATATTATGAATTAAAGCTCCTTTAAATCTCTTTGTACATAAATCTTTAAATGCAACTCTGCTTATTTCATCAGGATAGAGTCCTAGAAGAATTATAGTTCAGAATGCATGAACTTTTTAAAGACTTTCCAAGTGTATGTCCAAATGGCCTTATATATAAGTTATGATAATTAATTCTCTTATCAGCAATGTATTAAAATTTCAAACGTCATTGCTACCTTACCACCATTGAATATTATTACTATTTTTTAATAAGTACCAATCTCCGGATCTTACTAGCAGAATAACCTTAGCCACATTTCTTAACTCTCTATCCATTAGTTTTCTCATCTATAAAATAGAATAATAATAGTTCCTTCTTCATTATGTTATTGTGAAGAATAAATAAAGCAGGAAAATTATTTAGTGCCTTATATACAGTATAAACTCAGCAAATGTTATCTACTCATTTCTAAAATGTGCAAATTTGCTGGAACATGGAGAATTTGTCATTTTAATTTGCACTTTATAAAATATTTTTGAGGATAGACTGATTTCAAATCAAACTCTGATTTGAAATAATGAAATGCTAGAATTATATATCATTTTGAATGAACAAATGAGTAAGCAAAGGATGGAATATTTACCATGCTCTAGGTACCTGTCAAGGCTCTCATATATTTGCTCATTTAATTCTCACAGCATCCATGTTACATAGGTATTACCCACTTTTAGCAGGCAAATTTGTTGAGGCTTGGTGAGTTGTTAATTTGCTATAGTTCACATATCCAGGAGGTGGCAGAGCTGGACTTCAAACTTAACACTGAACACAGCCCAGTTTTCTTTCTGCTGTATCACATATATCTGCAGTTTTGTTATACTTGAGCTCTCTTTAGTTTTTTTATTCTCACATATATAAAGAAACTCAAGTTGGGTTATAAATAATCAGATATGATGAAATATCAGAAATGTGTAGATTAGATGTGATTAATGATCAGATGTCTATAAATCAGTGCTTTGGATGTGATAGAGCATTCTTAAAAGGGTTTTATACAGGTTTCAATGGACTTCTTGAAATCTTATTCGTGCTATCATTGAAAATTGTGCTAAACAAAAGTAAACATCAGCCTAGTCCTTAACCAAGCTATTACAAGTTCCAGTGGTCTGAATTATTGAGCTTTTACTATAAAATACAAAGAGGTTTTGCTTCTAAGTTAATCAATATTGACTAAAAGGGGAAATGTTTGCAGAAGATTATCAAGTTATAAGAAACATATATAAGCATATATCATATTATGATATTAAGCATCTTATTTTCTTTATCTTTTTTCTATTAAAGCTCTAAACTAAATAACTTCCAACCTACAGATGAATATATGTGTGTAACATAATAATTTTGAGTGAAAAATTATTTGTCACAGGTGCCAACATGAAAATTTAGTAGAACTACTTGGTTTCTCAAGTGATGGAGATGACCTCTGCTTAGTATATGTTTACATGCCTAACGGTTCATTGCTAGACAGACTGTCTTGCTTGGTAAGATATTTGTTCATCAGATTTTTGGCTTTCTGTTTCTTTGTTGTATATTAATATTCATCTCGTGACAGGATCATTTAAACTGCATTAATCTTAATATTTTTCCCGCTCTATGAAAATTATACATTTGATATGCAAAAAACTGGGATTGCCATTCTATTAGGTGATCATCTAAAATGTAAAATATTAGTCAAGACTAGACTTTGAAGATGCTCTTACATATTTTTATTGTCAAATGAGAAATGCTAACCCCTGTTTAAAAGTTGCTTAGGAACATTTTCTGTTATGTATTTACTGTAGGTATTTTTATCCTCCTAATTTTTGAATTGGTTTGTTTCTTACTTCACAAGGATGATACTCCACCACTTTCTTGGCACATGAGATGCAGGATCTCTCAGGGTGCAGCTAATGGCATCAGTTTTTTACATGAAAACCATCAAATTCATAGAGATATTAAAAGGTAAATGCTACTTTTGGAAAAGCCATTTTTAAAGAATAATTTTCCCTCCCTCTTTCTGTTCACTATGCACCTGCATGTCTTAATCTAGAGCACTCCAAGATTATAGATGTCCTTTTTCTCCCCAGTGTTCTGCCTTTATTTAGACCCTGGCTATCTATCATTGACTTTATTACAAACCCTCCTAATCAGCCTTTAACCTGTCTGTACCAGTACTTACCTATTCACTACTGCATTGCCAGGTTATGGCCCGAAAGATCAAGCCTGCATACCAGTTTATTGAAATTGGTTATATGTTTTCTATCACTATTACATGGTGCTCCATTTGCCTGAAATGCCTTTCTTTCTCTCATTTAACCATCAACTTCTAATAATTATTCAAGACTAAGCACATTTTTCCTTGGAATTTTCTCCAGTTCTTTTATTCATATAGTTGTTCTATCTGCATTTTATATCTAATATCATCATAATAGTGTATTTATTGGATTTTTAAAAATTATACATGGCCATAGCCAGGTGATTCACTTGGTTGGAGCATCCTCCCATACATCAAAATATGGGTTTGATTCCCCGTCAGAGCACATACCTCGGTTGTGGGTCATGTCAGGGAGGCAACCAATCAATGTTTCTCTCTCACATTGATGTTTCTCTCCCTTCCGCTCTCTCTAAAAATCAATAGAAATATATGGTCAGGTGAGGATTAAAAAAATATTTATGCATATACCTTTGTCACAGACAAGATTTGAAGATTTCCTCCATGTCCAGCACTGAGCTTAAATACTATAATATATAGGGAGTCCTCAGTAAGTTTTGTAGAATGAAAGTATGAGTGTATGAGTAAATGCATATAATGAATGAAGGAAGATCTTTTAGCTGTATTCTTTCTTCTTTGAAAGATTTCAGATAGCACAAAAAAGAAAAAAGAAATGAAAAATTGAGATACTTGGGTTGGAAATTTGTTTTTAAATGAATTTAGAAATGTTACAAAAGGAGTTAAGAATGGTGCTTTGGCAGACCTTAAGGGAAGTGACCCTGTGATAAATTATTTGTAAAATAATGAAAATATCTCTCACTAATGTGAACAGCATTATTTCAATTTTGTTTTCTTAATTTTTTCTTAAGAAACAGAAGGGAATATAAGACAGTCATTTCTTTTTAGCTTTAATCTGAAATCTAGGTATATTTACACAAACTTCAGGCTTTTATGATGTATATTATAACATGGTATACTCTGTAAATACATGCATACATACATATATTCATACAGCTATTTAAGAAACCATTTAACTTGCCTGAAAAGGACCTGGAGAGTATTATGCTAAGTGAAATAAAGCAGTCAGAGAAAGACAAATATCATATGATCTCACTAATATGTGGAATATAATAGACAAAATAAACTGAGGAACAAAATGAAACCAGAAGCAGGGATACATGGGACAGACTGACAGGTGCCAGAGGGGGAGGAAAGGATAGGGGGTGACTGGATAAAGAAGGTGAATGGATTATCTAAAAAAAATATATGCATACCCCATGGTCACGGACAATAGTGTGGTAAAGGCCAAGGGAGGTGGATGTGGAGGTGACTGGAGGTGAGCGAAGGGAGGATATCTGCAATAGTCAACATTAAATATTTTTAATAAATTTTTTTCTCTGCAAATTTTACATTTTTTTCAGTGCAAATATCTTACTAGATGGAGACTTTACAGCCAAAATATCTGACTTTGGGCTTGCACGGGCTTCTGAGAAGTTTTCCCAGACAGTCATGACTAGCAGAATTGTGGGAACAACAGCATATATGGCACCTGAGGCTTTGCGAGGAGAAATAACACCCAAATCTGACATTTACAGCTTTGGTGTGGTAAGTTTCATATCTATACTAATAATAGAGGAATATGCAAATTGTCTGGGACGCCGTCACAGTAACAGTAATGATCAAACAGCAGGATGCTTGGGGCAACAAGGCCAGCGGGGGGTTTAGTGAGGGATGACAAAATGACTGAACAGCAGGCTGCGTGGGGTGACCAGGCTGGCAGGGGGACAGCTGGGGACGACCAGGCCAGCGGGGGAGGGGGGTCATTTGGGGGCAACCAGGCCTGCAGGGGAGGGCAGTTGGGGGTGATCAGGCTGGCAGGGAAGCAGTTAGGCATCAATCTGGCTGGCAGGGGAGCCAGTTAGGGGGCGATCAGTCTGGCAGGCAGAAGCGGTTACGGGCAGTCAGGCAGGCAAGTAGGTGAGCAGTTAGGAGCCAGCAGCCCCAGTTTGTGAGAGGAATGTCCAACTGCCGGTTGAACATCCCCCAAGGGGTCCCAGATTGGAGAGGGTGTAGGCCAGGCTGAGGGATACCCCCTCCCATGCACGAATTTCATGCACCGGGCCTCTAGTATATATATAATCAGTAACAATACTCAATCATTCTGGTAATAATTATGAAATTTAAGTAGAATATTTTGAATACACCTGCCTTGCTTAGCTCTCTGTAAACTGTTCACTTTAACCTCTAGTTAAATGAGAAAGTTATAAAAACTTCTCCAACTTTGTAAAGCCTTTATATTGATTTCTGAAATTACTGCATGAAATTATTTTTGACTACACTATCCTCATGAATTAGTATGAAACTTAACTTAAATTAGTGCATAAAATAAATGTCATACAGTATGTAATTTAGTGTCATATTTAAAAATGAAGTATTTTTTAAAAGAAATATGCTTTTGCATTCTTTGATTTGCCAGTCTGTTCCTGATAACTTAAGATGGAGTGAGGAGTGAGTGGGGGTGGTTGGAGAAATTGGGTAATTCACCATTAGATTCCACATATTAGTGAGATCATATGGTATTTGTCTTTCTCTGACTGGTTTATTTCACTTAGCATAATACTCTCCAGGTCCTTATTTTTCATATGTGTTTTATATATGGAAATTTAACATCATAGCACTGTGAACTTAAGGTATAGGGCAGTGATGGTGAACCTTTTGAGCTCTGCGTGTCAGCATTTTGAAAAACCCTAACTTAACTGGTGCCATGTCACATATAGAAATTTTTTGATATTTGCAACCATAGTAAAACAAAGACTTATATTTTTGATATTTATTTTATTTAAATGCCACTTAAAAAAGAAAAATCAACCAAAAAAATGAGTTCGCATGTCACCTCTGATATGCATGTCATAGGTTTGCCATCACTGGTGTAAGGTTTGGGATATGCCTAAAGTTTAGAAAATAATATTCTCCTAAGAACCAAAGAAATTTATTCTTATGAAGAATTCCCTGCAAAACAGGGAAAGGTGTGTCCAGAACACGTTGAGTGGAGCTGATTGTTTAGTAAGTTGCCAATAGTAAGAAATGCTTGTGGGGATGGGTGGGATCCATGGTGTCAGTGAAGCTTCAAAGGATGGTGGGAAATGACCACAGCTCATGTTCTTTCTGCCTTGATGCCTAAAAGACATAATGCAGTGTGTGAAAATGATTAACCAGATTTCATAATCAAGATTCATAATTCATTCTAGTTTCTATATGTTGCCTGGAGAGTGACACTCATGGATTTGTTGTTTATCTTCATAGGTTTTACTAGAAATAATAACTGGACTTCCAGCTGTGGATGAACACCGGGAACCTCAGTTGTTGGTAACTGAAAGATTCATTTTTTCTCTAGTCCTTTTTTCTTTGCATGTATAATCTAAATTTATATGGATAAATTTGGCATCTAGAAATGTCATTTTCTCTTGGCAATTATATGGTGGCATATGGAAAGAGAATCAAATATTCCTAATTTCAGCTCTACCATGAAGTATTTGTGAAGCTTGGAAGAGTCACTTACGTATTTTGTATTCTAGTTTCTTTTGTGAGTAAATCAGAATAGAACTATATTATTTCTGATGGCATCTCCAGTATATTTTTAGTTGTTACTTTCAGAGTGATTACTAACAGTCTTTCAGCTCAAAGGGGAAAAACAACATGGCTTTCATCTATTCAAATTTGTATCAGAATAGAATTCCTAGCAAAAATTCTCTATCCATTTCTATTATGGATTATTTTATTTATAAAGTTATCATAGAAAACATCACCAATGTGTAATATTAGACATTCATTGACAAATGAATTACACAAATAGGCTAACTGAATGTTAAAGCTATAGGAAAATTATACCATGCCCCCTTTTCCCTATCTAGTAAATTTTAAGAACTTAGAGGCTCTTTTTATAAAACTGAAGATTTATAGAAATATCTGCTTCCATGTGTAAGGTTTTCTTAACATTAGTTAAATAACTTCACTGACTTTTCTAATTAACGTGTTCTAATGGGACAAACCAGTGTGACAAAATCAGACAATGTATGTATACCAGATTATTTTCCCAGAAGGGGATTAGAAAGTCAAAAGGTATACTAATATATGCTCAAGAGCTGAGTACCATACTCTTTTAAGAAAAGCCATGAGCAGTCAATGAAAGAAAAATACCACATGATCAAAAGCATGGATGGAACTGGAGAGCATTATGCTAAGTGAAATAAGCCAGTCAATGAAAGAAAAGCCATGAGTACAATCCTATCTAATAAAAGAGAAACATGCAAATTGGCCGTACCTCCGCTATAACAACAAGCCACGCCCACACGCCAATCAGGAGCAAGTATGCAAATTAACCCAACCAAGATGGCGGTGGCCACGGAGCTGGAGCGAACAGGAGGCTTGGGTTGCTCCTGGCGATGGAGGAAGCCCAGTTTCCCACCCATCCTGGCCCACCCTGGCCTCCACTCAAGGCTACAAAGTTTCAATTATAGAAGATAAATAAATCCCAGATACCTGCTTCCCTCTGCTCAAGGAGGCGCTGAAAATAAAAAAGAGCTGGGAGTTTGGGTCACCAGGAGCCATGGCCAGCCTGAAAATGGCCCTCAGCCCCTCACCCAGGCTGGCCACACCCTCATGGGGTGAGGATCCACGCTGGAGGGCTTGGCCAGCCTGCAAACAGCCATCAGCCCCTCACCCAGGCTGCCAGGCATCCCAGCGGGGACCCCCACCCACTGGCAGTGGTTCTCAACCTTCCTAATGCCATGACCCTTTAATACAGTTTCTCATGTTGTGGTGACCCCCAATTTCATTGTTACAAATTGAACATAATTAAAGCATAGTGATTAATCACAAAAACAATATGTAATTATATATGTGTTTTCCGATGGTCTTAGGCAACCCTTGTAAAAGGGTTGCGACCCACAGGTTGAGAATTGCTGCGGGGATGTGGCCAGCCTACCAACAGCCCTCAGCCCCTCACCCAGGCTGGCCACACACCCTCATGGGGTGAGGGTCCCCACTTGTGGGCTTGGCCAGCCTGCAAACAGCCATCAGCCCCTCACCCAGGCTGGCCAGGCACCCCAGCGGGGACCCCTACCCTGAAGGGGATGTGGCCTGCTTGAAAACAGCCTTCAGCCCCTCACCCAGCCTGGCCAGGCACCCCAGCAGAACCCCCCACCCTGAAGGTGGTGTGGCCTGCTTGAAAACAGCCCTCAGCCCCTCACCCAGGCTAGCCATGCTCCCCCAGTGGGGACCCTCACCCCATGTTGGCATGGCCGGTCTGCAAATCACCACAGGCCCCTCGCCCAGGATGCCCAATGCCCCAAGGGAACCCCCACCCTGATCCAGGACACCCTTCAAGGCAAACCAGCCAGCCCCCTCCCATGCACCAGGCCTCTATCTATACTAATAAAAGGGTAATATGCTAATTAGACTGGGAGACCTTCCAGGAGACCTCCCGGACGTTCTTCTGGAGAAAGCCATGGTAGCAGGGCCAAGGTAGAGGTGGTTAGAGGCCAAGAGGGGAGGGCAGTTGTGGGTGATCAGGCTGGTGGGGGGCAGGGCCGTTGGGGGTAAGCAGATCAGCAGGGGGGCCAGTTGGGGGCAAGCAGGCCGTCAGTGGGGGTCAGTTAGAGGTGATCAGGACGGCGGGGGGGGGGGGCAGTTTGGAGTGAGCAGGCCAGCAGGGGGACAGTTGGGGGCAAGCAGGCCAGTGGGGAGGGAAGGTGGGGGCAAGCAGGTCAGCAGTGGGGGTTAGTTGGGGATGAGTAGGCTGGCAGAGGAGGCAGTTGGGGGCGAACACACTGGCACGGGATGCAGTTGGCGTGATCAGGCTGGGGGGGGGGGGCATTTGGGGGCAAGCAGACCAGCAGCAGGGGGCAGTTGGGGGCGAGCAGGCCGGCAGGCAGAGTGGTTAGGGACAGTCAGGCAGGCAGGCAGGCAGGCGAGTGGTTAGGAGCCAGCAGTCCCGGATTGCAAGAGGGAGGTCCGACTGCCGGTTTAGGCCTGATACCTGTAAACCAGCAGTAGGACATCCTTCAAGGGGTCCCAGATTGGAGAGGGTGCAGGCCGGGCTGAGGAACATCCCCTTCCTCGTGCACGAATTTTGTGCACTGGGCCACTAGTGTCTATATATTACAATATTGCTACAGATTAAAACTTTATATTATAAAGCTATATTATAAAGCTTTCCACAGTTTCCTGGATATGAAGTAATGCAATATTACATGTTATATAATACTTCACATTAAAGTACATTTAGGGAGCATAATGTTATTGTAAAAGCTATTATTTTTATAATGAATTTTTTACCATGGTACACACACATTTAAAATTCTCTGTCTCATTAGTGGTTGGTGGTCAGGAAAGAAGCCTAGGCTGGAGATGCAGTTTTTGAGCCATTAGTGTACAGGCATAGATAAAGCTTTGGTTATGGATTGAATTATACAGAAAAAGTGTGTAGATTAATCGTACAGGAGGACAGTTAAAAAACCAAGTGTTTTGCTACCTTACATTTTACAAGGCCTACCTGTCTAAAGACCTAAAATTTTCCATCTTTCCACCTGAGACTTCTTTTCCTCCTTCAAAATATTATAAAAGCCTCGAAATTTGGGTTTGAATAAGGATGTAATACAGAAAGACATAGAGCCATCTCAGTCACAAGTTTTATGGATCCTCAAGTAATAGTGAAAATCATAATACTTCAAGGAAGATTATACTCTCTGATTTATTCTTAAGGTTTGAATGTGACATGACTATAAAGTAGTAAGATTTTAATGCAAGTGTAACTATATCACTATATTATGTTATTACCCAAATACTTTCAAAATTTTTCTTTTAGAAGTTTCTGGAGATTTTATAGTCCACCTCACAAAATAGTCTTTGCCATCTGTATGTTTCCTAGCACTGCCGTAAAAAAAAAAAAAAAAAAAAAAAATTACTGCACACTCAGACTTAAAATGACAAAAATGTATTCCCACAGTTCTGGAAGCCAGAAGTCTGAAATTATGGTTTTGTCAGGGCCCTTTACTCTGGAAGACTCTAGGGGAGAATCTTTCCTTACCTCTTCCAGCTTCTGATGGCTGTTGGCATACCTTGACTTGTAGCCACATCACTCCAGTTTCTTCCTCTGTGATCATGTTGTCTTCTCTTCTGTGTCTGTTTTCTTCTTTCTGTCTCTTATACAGATGCTCGTCATTGGATTTAGGGCCACCTGGGTAACTTAATGACATCCGCAAAGACAGTTTTCTCGAAATACAGCCACACTCACAGGTTCTGGGGATTAGGACTTGGATATATCTTTTGGGGGCCACTGCTCAACCCACTAGTCCATCATCCTAGTCCTATTCCTCTCTCCCTATTCATTACTTTTTCACCATGGCCCTGCCTCCCTTTTCCTCCTTCCTCTGTCTCTTTGATTCAACAGTTTGAGTACTCACAGAGAAGTTTGAATGAAGGGAGGGGAGTCTGTTTTCAGAAGTTGGAACTGTGTTATCAGGAGCAAATCAAGAAGCAGACCATCCTACACTGGCAGCATAGTAAGTGCTGCAAATGGGAGCATGACAGCAGTTAGCTCAGTAGCATAAATACAAAAGTTAGACAGCAAATGAAAAGTACTTAGGAGGTAGGTATGTATGTATGTATGTATGTATGTATGTAATTATAAGTAAATAAATAAGGTTTCTTCTGTATGTCTTCAGTTCTTAACAAGGTTATAAAAGTAGAAAATAAAATAAGATTACAGCCCAGCTGGTGTGGCTCAGGGGTTGAGCGTTGACCTATGAACCAGGAGGTCAGGGTTTGATCCCCAGTCAGGGCACATGCCTGGGTTGTGGGCTCGGTCCTCAGTAGCGGGCTTACAGGACACAGCCAATCAATTGTTTCTCTATCATAGATGTTTCTCTCTCGCCCTCCCTTCCTTCCTCCCTCCCTCCCCCTACCTCTCTGAAATAAATAAAAATATATTTTTTAAAAAGTACATATTATTATGAAGTAGATTAAATAATTAAGATTTATGTTCTGATTTTTTTCACTTTCATTTGCAACTCAAAGTTTTAACACTTGTTTTAAAGCTAGATATTAAAGAAGAAATTGAAGATGAAGAAAAGACAATTGAAGATTATGTTGATAAGAAGATGAATGACATTGATTTCACTTCCATTGAAACTATGTACTCTGTTGCCAGTCAGTGTCTGAATGAAAAGAAAAATAAGAGACCAGACATTAAGATGGTATTAATTTTTTATACTTATTTAAAAAGTGAAGGAGGTGGGATTTGTCATTTTTTCCTTAAGTGTGCATTTCAAAACAACTATTTAATACAGTTCTTTCTGTTTTGTTTTTTTCTCTCTGTCTTTATAAAAGGTCCAACAGCTGCTGCAAGAAATGATGGCTTCTTAAAACTTTAGAAGAATAGACTCTTGGCTTTTTAATATACAGCTATCAAAACCATTTTCTAGACTAAATGTTCTGGTAAACATTCTTTTTTACCTTTAACAAAGCAGCATGATGCAGTGTAGTGGTTATTAAAGCTTATGTAGAACCCCCAACATACAGAACAAACAGAAGTAGAGCTGCCATATCAATGCTTGGCCTGAACTTCTTAGTGTCACCCTCCATTCACGCAGTAATCCCTTGAAACGTCTTCTTGGAACCTCACCAAACACAATTTGAAAACTACAGGATTAGCAAAAAAGAGGACTGGACTATAGAATGAAAAGGCCCAACTCCACTACTAATTTTCTATAAAGCTATGGTCAATTTCTTCGCTGCTTTGAGCTTGGTTTTTTTCACCTGTAGCATTGGATTATACTTACTGTACCTCTCTGACAAGTAGTCATGAAAATCAAAGGATGCAGAATGTTTACAAAGTACTTATAAAGTGATATAAAATTTAAATTTTATATAGATGATTATAAAACTTTTACAGTCATTTGTTTATAGGGTCGTGTTCACAATGAGCTCTTTTTTAATTTATTTTTTTATTTTTATTGATTTCAGAGAGTGAGAGAGAGATAGAAACATCAATGATGAGAAAGAATCATTGATCGGCTGCCTCCTGCACACCCCACACTGGGGATCAAAACCACAACCCAAGCATGTGCCCCAACTAGGAATCGAACCATGACCTCCTGGTTCATAGGTTGATGCTCAAACCACTGAGCCATGCTGGCCAGGCCACAGTGAGCTCTTTTAAGCAATTATTCACCACAAGCCAAATATTCCCAGATGATATTCCCGTGATATGGCCATAATTAGATTATGTTACATAGCAAAGTTGATGGAATTTTGCAATGCAGTTAAGGTTCCTAATCAGCTGACTTTGAATATCAACAGGGACTGTGCTGGGGGGCCTGACCTAAGGTGAGCTCTTGCAAGAAGTCTGAGAGATTCTCCTGTGGGCCTTGAAGAAGGAAGCTCCCATGTTGTAAGAAGGCCACATTGGCTAAGACCTAAGGGTGGCTTTCAGGAGATGAGAGCTACCTTCTGGCTGGGACTTTAGATCTATAGCCACAAGAAACTGAATTCTTCTAACAGCCTAAATTAGCTTAGAAGAGTATTCCAGACTTCAGATGATGCTGTAGTCCCAACTAACACCAAAATTTCGGCCTTGTGAGACCCTCAGCGAATCTAGCTGAGCTGTGCCTGTACTTCCTACATACAGAACTGTGACATAATAAATGAGTTGCTGTAAGCTACTAAGTCTATGGTAAGTTATTATGCAGCTATAGAAAATGAATGCAGATATTCCCTTGATGATTCTCCCATGGTGATATACTATCATGTTCACAAATTCTGCTCGTGCTCAAGGGGTTGATAGGGATTAAACAGTGTGTATATATACCAGGTGGTTGCAGTGTACTGACTTTCACTGGATTTCTCGATTTTCCTCAATCGCTTCTCTTTTGTTGTTTGTTCTACTACAGAGAGTGAGAAACCTCTGGGTCGTAGTGATGAATTGATTTGTTTAAATGACTTTTAATAATTTCTCCTAAGTTTAAAATTTTCAATTGGTTTACATTATTTGAAAATTGATTTTTCAGATTTGGGTGAGCAGAAGGAAGTAATTTACTTAATCATGAAAACTGGCTTATAGAAAAGCTAATATGTATAGAAGAAATGCCAAGTGGCTGCAATTATTCACTCGTTCATTCAGTAAGCTTTCTATCTTTCATTCTTTCATTAACACACTCAAAACAAGAATATGTACAGTTAGCTACAGTATAAAATGCTCATCCTCTATATTGTACCGTTTAGACCTTCCTAAATGTTTTCCTGGGAATCAAAAATAACACATCTTTCTAATCACCTTGTTAGCTCAGTATTTAAGCAGAAAGAAACATTTGCTAGTTGAAAAGGAAAAAGAAAAATAAGTAAAATGACTTAATTAAATCAACTTCAATGGGAACCCACATAATTTGAGGCTTGATATGATACTGAACATAATTATGTTATTTTAAAATATAATTAACTATTTCTTGAAATAAAAGCATTTACATAAAATTACATATTTATATGTCTTATTGTAAACTGTTACCAAACTATACTCAAATTTTTAAGAGTAAACTATATTTTTGATTTTGAAATTTTTGTGATGTTTGAAATTTTTGGTAGATGTTTTCATTCCATCAAATGGAATTGATATCAGATTTACCAAAATTAGACATAGCTCCCCCACAATAAGACTGTACCTTAACTCTTTGGGCAGCAATAATACAGTAAATCGAAGACTCAAAAGTATCACCACACTGTTTCATATTTTTGCCTGATGGCATCTGATGCATCATGGACCGCTGAACTTGTGTGATTCACTCAGCTATGGGACTGAGCAGCAGAGGGGTTGTCCTCAGCTCACACATGAACATGACTTTCACTAAAGTTCTGAGAATAATGTTCAGGCTATTTGTACTGTTTCCCTCAGGCAGAAATGAAAAATGAGGGGTGACATCTAGTTAAAGCTTTTTCTTAACTTCATTTGGAATACGCTTCCCCCTAAGTTTGTATAGAAGCAGAATATTTTAAACAGATTTTTGAAAAAAACTTTTGACAGGTTTTGCAAGTTTTGATGTGAACTTTTTTTTTTTTTAAATATATTTTATTGATTTTTTACAGAGAGGAAGGGAGAGAGATAGAGTGCTAGAAACATCGATGAGAGAGAAACATCGATCAGCTGCCTCCTGCACATCTCCCATTGGGGATATGCCCGCAACCCAGGCACGCGCACCTGACCGGAATCGAACCTGGGACCCTCCAGTCCGCAGGCCGACGCTCCATCCACTGAGCCAAACAGGCTTTGGCTTGATGTGAACTTTTAATGTTTCCTCCAACAACTGACTATGCAAACCAATGTGCAATGACAAAAGTGGTTGAGAACCATCCACAGACCCCATTTCCAGAAAGAACAACTGTTTTTATTCCCATGTTTCTGGCCCATTGGTTTGCTAGTTAGCCAACTCAAATTTTTAAATTGTATTTATGTCAATATGAGGAGCAAGCAGGTAATAAGAACAATTAGTCAGTGTTTTGCTTTATTTTTCTAATATATAATTAAGAGACATTTAAGACATTCTAAAGCATTTACGGCTCTGTCCACTTTTTGCTTCTGTAAAGATATAGTAAAATGGCCATAGGTCTCAGCCATTTATAGTGCTATCATTCACTTTCAAAATCAGCATATTTATTTTTCCAGCTTTATTGTGGTATTCTTGACAAATGAAAATTGTATATAGCCTGGCCAGCGTGGCTCAGTGGTTGAGCATCAACCTATGAACTAGAAGGTCACAGTTCAATCCCCAGTCAGGGCACATGCCCAGATTGTGGGCTCAATCCCAGGGGGAGGGGGTGTGCAGGAGGCAGCCAATTGATGATTCTCTCTCATCATTGATGTTTCTTTCCATCTCTTCCTCTCCCTTCCTCTCTGAAGTCAATAAAGTATATATACTTAAGGTATTTAACTTGATGGCTTAATATATGTATAAATTGTGAAATGATTACCATAGTCAAGCTAATTAATAAATCCACTTCATGTAGTTACATTATTATTTTATTTATTTATTTATTTATTTATTTATTTATTTATTTATTTGGTATAATGATAGAGGGATTCACTCAGCTAGGAAGCTTTAACAACACCCAAGCTAAAATATATATATAATTAAAAAGAAAAGACTATCAGTATATAGTATCAGGAATGACTAGAATATACTTTAGCTTAGAGAAAGAAATAAAAACTTAAACTGAATCAAGTTCTATTTGTGTGTTACTGGTGTTATCAAAGGCTTTTAAGGTCAGCAGTGAGCCAAGAATAAGACTTCATCATAATGTTTCTCCTGCTTTCCTGGGGAAAGGAATATTGTGTTCCAGATGATGTCAGATATTTTTCTCTACTGGCTATTCATACATCAGGGAAGTTTGGTGAAGATTTTTGTGAAGGTCATCCAACCTGTTTTCCCTGCACTAACTCCATGCTTATGTAGCAGCTTTTGTATTTTGACTTATTATTTCTTGCCTGGATTTGCCTTTTAGAAGGTAATGCACAGTGACAATCTACATATTACAACTACATATCAGTTTCTATTGCAGAATGTCTTTTTATGATTAACAAAATCACACTCTGGTTTATACCTAAAGCTTTTGAAAGTTTAGCATGAATTAAATCTTTAGAGACTGATCATTTCAGGCTGCAATGCTGAAATCCAAGCCCTAGACTGTGGGACCCTATCTCCAGCTAAAGCCATTCTAAGAGCCAAATGGTATCTCCACCTCTTTTAAGAATTAAAAATTAGCTAATGCTATGGTGGTAACCATTTTACAATATATAAGTGTATCAAATCAACACATTGTACACCTTAAACTGTTCTACCCCTTAAACTTAGGCAATCTTTTATGTCAGTTATAGCTCAATAAAACTTGGGGTGGGGAGTTAAACATTTAAACAGGGTCTACATCTTTAGCACCTCAGACCATTTATGAAAATGTCTCAAAAATGAAACAACTTTTATTATAAAGAGATGCATATCCCCATCATATATTTTAGAGGAAGAGTAGCATCCGTCTTTATAGTGATAACAGAGTTTGACTATCGTTAGTCTCCTTAAAAATTTTGAAATGCTGACCAGTATGTTTAAAAAAACACACAAAACTCAATATCACTTCCGTTAGTGGCATTCTTTGGTGAAATATTCTTAAATCAACTCATAAGTCAGCAGAGGGAACATGTGATAATTTACTCTGTTAAACATATTAGGAAGCCTTGCCATACAACATTCTATTTTTTGGCCAAGAAAGATCAATAATATCTGCCTTTAAATATTTAGACCTCGCAAATGTCAAAGGAGCTCTGAAAACTCACCTTTCCATAAAAACAATGAAAAAGCTGGCAAAAATGTTCAGAATTGACTTTTCCAGAACTGGAAACTAACCAAAGGCTTGCAGCACACAAGAAACCCAGCTGAATCTCAGTAAGAGCAAGCCTGTGGCATGCTAACTTATTCTAGTCTCTCATTCTTTGCTCAGTGGTAGCCTTGAAGAATAACAGCCCACATTCTTGGTACCAGAGGGAGAACAGAGCTGGAGCTTTTTCAAAGCCTTATTCTGAAAGAAATGTAATTATTTGATCTCTCTGGCAGTTCCCTGGAAGACCCCATTCAAAGGCTTCTCTTTATTTGACCTAAATCTCACCTAGCACTAAAAGCCTCTCCCTGGAGTCATTTGTCAAAAACATTTACAGCAAATACTGTAATCACAGCTGTCTGAGGTGATAAATAACAGTTGGGACAAACAATAGGCTAACCAAAAAGCTTAAAAGAAAAAGCTGAGGAGCGAGATATCCATTACAGCTTTGAAAATCCCCGACATATTCCTGGGAACCTGGAAAGCCATGTACGTGTGTAAGGCCATGCACATGCTCAACATAAAAAGGACCTGAGAAGGCTCTAAGCCAGTGGTTCTCAACTTTCTGGCCCTTTAAATACAGTTCCTCATGCTGTGACCCAACCATAAAATTATTGTCGTTGCTACTTCATAACTGTAATGTTGCTACTGTTATGAATCGTAATGTAAATATCTGATATGCAGGATGATCTTAGGCGACCCCTGTGAAAGGGTCGTTCAACCGTCAAAGGGGTCGCGATCCACAGGTTGAGAACCACTGCAAGCTTTACCTCTGGCTGACCTTCAGGCTCCATACAAGTAAGAAGTAAAGACTAAGGCAGAGTCTAAACTGCGGTGGAAGGTCTCTTGACATGTATACAGAGCCCCTTGCAAATACTGGGAGATTTATTGGTTATAGATGTTTAAGGAAGTTTGGCCATTCATTAGCTGATGATGAATCTGAATACAGATTTCAGTGGCCACACATCATAAAGAAAACAGACTTCACAGAATTAGTTTACTTAAGTCACCAAAAACAACAACAACAACAAAAAAACAGCAAGTAACTAATAATTAGCAACCACAGCAAACATTGGGGAGGGGACAGCGTCTGATTTCCAGAATTGCCACATTATATTTTTTAAATGCTCACTTTTCAACAAAAATGGCATAAGAAGAGACAACCAAGTATGGCCCATAGATACCCAGGAAAAAAATCAATAGAAACAGTGCCTGAGGAAGCCCAGATGTTATACTTACTAGACTAAGACTTTGAATTGTCTATTTTAAACATGTCCAAAGAGCTAAAGGGAATTATATTTAAAGA